CACAGAAAATGTCTCTATCGCTGATTGAAATGAATTCGTGTCTTTTCAAACTTTCGTGCGATTATAATGTCATCTCTCTGGAGTTGAATTCTTTAGGACCTTGCCAAGTTCAAGGGGAGACATGAAATAAAAATCCATCGTGTGTTTACGTTCTCCATGAAACGTCACATAAGGAAATTTCAAGTCGCAGTGATGCAGTTGGGAGTTTACGTGGAAACCTTCTTACAGGCTGTTATGTCTGTCTCTCACGTTGTACAATTGAAATTTCACGTAGCAGTCGTGCAGCTGGGAGTCCACTTTGGAGCCTCATCATGTCTGTCATGTCAGGGAAAAAGGAGAGGAGAATTATAAACCTTTAATATCAAAATGGGAATATACTTACGGAGCGCGTGACAGATGTATTTTTGCGGTCACAGAAAAGTGGCTTGAACTATGTTGCGGGGGTTAATAACAGGTGGGCAGTTCTTTCTTTACTACCTCTCGCGTAAAAGGCTGGACTGAAAACAATGTATGGTGGGTTGATGTGTTAGCCTCAAGAATTTGGTCCGAATGACCACTCAAACAATAAATATCTTAATTCTACTTCTATGAAAGCCATGCTGTTCGTCAGTTTAGAACTTTCTTTGCTTTTATTAATTATCCTTTGCTTAGTTAGTCAGGCTCTTTGTGACGGGTATTACATACTGTGGTACGATAAAATCGGCCTTATTTTTATAAAACATGGCTCTATAGGGTAAGCGTTAACTCCAAAAAGCATCCTATAATGTCTATTAAGAGGATACTTACTATATTGTGCTTTAAAACGTAATTTGTACCCTGCTTGCTAAGCACGGGTTTTTTTCCGGCGTGGCTTTTGGCATGTACCAAGTCGTTCGCTTCACTGATCGTGACTTTTGCGTAGTGCATTTGTATTCGTAAAACAAGCCACTGAACTACGTGCCAGGATAATACGACTTTGTACATGCTACAAACCATGCGGCAAAGAAATGTCTGTTAGCAGGTTTGCAAAGAAATTCGCACAATTTTGACTTCACAGGAACACATATATAGCTTAACCCATTCGCCCCTGAGCCGCCCGTAACCGCCCGTGCGAATCCACGTCCCTTCTACCGCTTTTGACGTCACCAGTTTTTGATTTATACACTAACGTGCGCAGAATGAAGAGATCTTTCAAACCATACTAGAGTTAGCACAATTCAGTCAAGGACACCAGAGAAAAAGGCAAAGAACCATGTAATATTGACCCGAAAATTGCCATGAAAATATTGTTCCACTACCCACTTACCTTTCCTTTCATCTAATCGTATAAGATCGTAACAGCTTTCCTGAAAACTTTTTCCACCAAATGAAGTCTACTGAATGCCCAGCAATAGACAAAAAATGAGGCAAGAAAAGCGAAAAAAGAGGGAGGAGAGAAAGCGAAAAGTAAAAGTCAAGACTGCTGTGTCACTTTTAAACCCCAAAACTTGAAAACTGAAATTTTGCTTTCTGCGCATGCCCCAATTTCACAAGCTAGTATGGATCAGAGGGCCGCTAGCCTAGCTTAGCCTGCGTTTCCTCTCGAGTTCGTCGAGAAAGTTGCAGGGACGAGAGCAAGAAAAAAAGGAATGACGGGGGAGGGGGAGGTTGTGGTAAGTTTTAGCTCTTAACAGCACGACAGTGACCAGAAAAGCGCTCGACTAGCTTCAAAACGCGTTTTTCGGCAAAATCTCCAGGGGCGAATTGGTTGATTAAACATGCAGCTTTTGCCTCTCACGATAAAAACAGGGGGTAATTGAGGTCCGAAAACGGTGAATATTTTTTAACAAAATCTAAACATTATAGGCAAATAAAGCCGCGAACTATCCGCTCTTAGGCGAGGTTTAGTAACAATCTTCTTTCCACTGGTAAAACTACAACGCGTGACAGTAGTAATAGGGGCGGGTTTGGCGCAGGTACTACTTCATGTAAGCGTCACGAAATGTCCTCGAAAAAATATGTGGGGGAGGGGTGGGTTGAGAGGGGACATACTTACCTGAAGAGGGAGAGGTTAGGGTTAGGGCTAATAGAGCCTCTTGTAACCCGAGTAGGTTAGGGTTAGGGTAGGGTTTATATTTGTGGATTAGGGTTGTGTCTTGGCCTTGTGGTAAGACCCAAAATTCATGAGGGCGCATGCGCGTGGTGGAAAGTTAGGGTTAAGGGTTAGGAGGAGCCTTGTGGGAAGCTGAATGGACGAGGGCGCATGCGCATGTGGATTCCCAGTCCCCCGCAACGGGTTATTGGGCCCGATGCGTATTATCCGCTCGAGGGCGGGGGTGTCAGGTTAGGGTTAGGGTTGGGTTTAGGGTTAGGGTTTGTTTAGCCTTGTGGTAAGGCCAATTCACGAGAGCGCATGCGCGTTGGAGGTACTTACCTGATTAGAGAAAAGGGAGGGTTGATCTTATATATGAGACCAAGAGGGGGTGTTTAGCCTTGTGGTAAGGCCAATTCACGAGGGCGCATGCGCGTTAGGGTACCTTACTTGATTAGGTTAGGGTTAGGGTTATATAGGAGGAGGAGGGTTCGAGCTTAGCCTTGTGGTACGGGAAATTCGAGGGCGCATGCGCGTTGTGGAAGGTTTAGGGCCAGGGTTACTGTTAGGGTTAAGGGTGAAGGGTTAGGATTAGGGTTAGCCTTGTGGTACGGGAAAAAATTCGCGAGGGCGCATGCGCTTTGTGGAAGAAGAAGAAAAATGGTGGATTCCCAGCCCCCCGCAGCTTGGAGGAAGAGGCTGCGTATTATCCGTTCTAAGGACGAGGCCACCCCTTTCACTGCTTGTCGCTGGGGCTTGTATTTTTTGGTGGAGACTAGGCTTCCCTGGGGCCTTTTGAAAAAAAAGGAGCCTCGATAGTTCGCCGCGCCTAGACAAATACTCTCTGGGAAGACATGTGCACGAAGACGAAAAAGAAAGATCAGGCAGCAAAAAGATGAAGAAGAAGAAGGAATAGTTCCCACCGAGGATCCACTCCGGAAGCCCGGGGTGGAGTCGAACCACCAACCTTTCGATTTGGAATCGAACGCGCTACCCCTTGCGCCACCGGGCTTGGGGCATGCAAGCACTCGCCAAGTTAGCACCAAACAACAACCTTTTTATTCCTATTTTTTTAAAAAAATCAGTGAACAGTTTACATCTCAAGTCTAGAAGTACAAGATTGCTCAAAAGGGAATGGACCTGCATGTTCCCATCTCTCCGGGTTTCGAAGACTCACGCGTTGGAGGGCTTGCCCTATGAAACGATCGTTGACCTTATGACCACAGGTTTGACTCGGGTACGCTTGCAACGCTTTTCCGTTGGTGAGCAGATGTTTCCAATGCGCCTGCACCTATTGCTCGAGAAGAGGGCCTGCATAGGTCTTCAAGGGGAGGGTCGTCACTGTTCAAGAAATCGCAATGTTGGCCGTGCGTCCAGAGGGCGAGCCAAGGGGTCCTGGGGACCGGCGGGATCTTAGTTGACGAGGTACGCGGCGGGTTTGGCGGTGATGAGCTTGTTGGGTAAGGGATTCCTGGCAAACACGCCTTGAAAACCAGGCCCTAACGGGGATGGTGTCGCGCCAAATAGTCCAACTGCCCGTTCTTCAGAGGTCCTTGCTCCATCTTTTTTTTTTTTTTCTTTAGATATCGCCGATGGGGAAGAGAGTCGATCCGTAGGGGACGTTCTCCGGAAGGGGTATAACGGGGTCGTAGAGTAGGCGGCATGCATCGTTTCAAAGAGCGAGTCGAGCGGTGACTTGCTTCGAGGGTGTAGCAAGGCGGATAGCTCAGAGATTCCTAACACGGCACGGATGAAGCACTGAAATGGGCGGCGTTTGTCGGACACTGAAGGGTTCGTCGGGGCAGAGCCTTTATACTTTTGCCTAGGGGTGACGTCACACATCAAGAGGTTCTTGACCAAACGGAGCGTAAGTTGCGCTCATCGACGGGTTTCATCTTCGTCCGTGGGGCACATTCTGGAATGGCTAGCAAAGAATGGTTACGCTATTCACAGTACTTGACTAAACAGATATTCTAATTGGCTTATAAAAAAAAAGGAGTGTTCTAATAACGTATTGTCCAAGAGTATTGTTCCCAAAATGTAGTGGCATGCAAGGGTATTGTTGTATAGAAACAAAAGAGTCTTTATGCAATAGGATCAATAAGTATTGCCTACGTGACGTTCAGGTTTGACTTGTCCGCTCGAATAGGTTCTTCATGGCGCCCTGAGCATGGCTGGGAAAAGGCTTTGGATCCTATGATAGCGCTTCTGGGGGCCAGAATGGGAAATCGAGACGTCATGCGCGTCAATCTTGTCGAAGAAGGGTTCCATTCGTACCAGTGATGAAAATTCACATCGTAGACAAAGACGCGTTTGTTCAAATCCACGGCTATTTGAACGGCCCAGCCTGTCCCGCCTTGCACTTGTTTTTGACTGGCACTCAAATACCCAAACGCAAAGATCGAGTCCGCCTCGTTCACGACAAAGTAATAACGGAGTAATAGTTCGCGGGCGATAGGGCTCTTAGGCACGGGGCGACCTAACGCATAAGCCGCGTGGCCGAGCGGTTCGCACGCGTTTTCCAAGTCTTCTCGGGTCAAGGGGGTGATGTGGGTGCTTCGGGGGTGATTCGGGCCAATCTTGATGGTGACAGGAATGCCATACTCTAAGGCTAGCGTTTCGGCGGCCTGCTCGGCGCCTTGGCTGCCTCCTGTCACAATCCGATAATCGTTGAGGCGGGGAATGTCCATCATCTCTTCGTCTTGATCCATTCCGTGAGGTGACTGAGGCTGATTGCAAGGCAAAGAGGCCTTACGTAGAAAAAGGAAAGACCCAATCAGAAGGTGAGAGGTCCCAATAGGCGGGAGTCAGGTGACCTGTGTCGTCACTCGGGGGGCCCTATAAGAAGCTGAGTCTTTTCACTGGGACTCATTAGGCGATCCAAATGGCAAACCGTTCCTCATCTGAGCCTGACCAATCAAGCCATCCTGCCATTGCCCAAGCCTTGAATGATCCGGAAGAAGACGCGGCCTGTGTAGCGGCCTTGGAAGCCGCTGAACAAGAACAATTATCGCACCCTCTTGAATTTGAACTCAAACCGCACGTGGATCGCAGAGTGCGTAAATTTGGCCTGCACCGTCGTGTGTTTACCACTCACCTTGTCCAACATGGTGGAGCCCTCCGCCCGGAATTGTTGCCGCGTGATCAACTTCCTCGGTTATTGGATCAAGCCTTGCAGAGAGCCATTCAACGCCAAGTCCTGGACCAACCGGGGGTCCACGACAATGATCACTTAATGATTAACATGAGCAGCAACAGACTTCGCCACGCCTTCCAGTCCTCCCGCGTGCGTGTCCGCGATTGGCGTCAACGGACGGAACCGGCCCAAACCTTGCTGCAGCAAATGAGCAACATCCTCAATTCTAATGAACAATTTAGAATAGACGATAGTTTCCACGTGGAAGTCAGTCACATAAAAGACTCGGGGGTCGGTTCGGGGAGCCGAGGGAAACGGCCTGGCACCCAGCCCATTGAACAGTTCTTACAGAACAAAAAGTCCGTTGTGCGCATTCAAAATCTGGACGAACTGTGTTGTGCCAGAGCGTTAGTTACCGCCAAAGCGTATCGAGACTGGGGTAGCCGTGATTCTCACTACAAGAACCTTACACGAGGAGGAGCCTTTCAAAAAGAGTTGGCCCGTCAATTGCACCGGCGAGCCCGTGTACCCGAAGGCCCTTGCGGCCTAGGAGAACTGAACTTGTTTCAAATTGTGTTAGCCGAGTACCAGATCGTGGTCGTCTCCGCCGATCACGGCTACCAGATCATCTTCAAAGGCCCTCGCCAACCCGACCACAAATTGCTGTGCCTTATCAAGGTAGGAGAACATTACCACACTTGCCATTCGCTGTCAGGATTTTTTGGAAAAGGCTATTATTGTTTGGAATGTGAAAAATCCTTTAACAATAACGATTTACAACACCACCGATGCCCTGGCCGGAAATGTGCCTGCTGCCACCAAACCCACTGCGTTGACTTTGCCGCTGCCCGAGGAGCCGCCACTCTCCCGTGCAAAGAGTGCCATCGCTTCTTCTTTGGAGCCGACTGCCTCCTCAACCATCAGACCCATACCAGTGCGGACCCTGTGGCGTCCACCCCCCAAATGACCGTCTGCAGTACTCACAAGCGTTGCCCCGACTGTCAGATGTTGTGCCATGGCCTCCAGAGCGTCCAAAGACACAAATGCGGGTACGGCAAATGCCCGTCGTGTAAAGAATGGGTGCCCACAGACACTCATCGATGTTACATCCAGCCGATCGTAGAGCAGGCACGCCCCATGGGTCTACGCAGCCATCGTGGAGCCGCCGCAGGATTGGCGACCCTGCAAGCCAATAGGAGTCCTGATGATGAAGCGGAGGATCAGACTACAGACGTCTTGCCGCACCCCTTGTTTGTTTACTTTGACATTGAAGCTCGCCAAGACACGGGCGAACACGTGGCCAATTTACTTTGTGCGGAAACCAGTGAAAGCGAGGAACAGTTCACCTTTGCGGGAGACTCCTGTATCGAGGCCTTCTTAGACTGGGCCCAATCCTTGACGCGGACCCATAACCCCCACATAAAAAGAAAAGTGATATGTATTGCACACAACCTCAAGGGGTATGACTCCTACTTTATTTTGGAACATTGCTACGCTCATTTTCTCAAGCCTGAGCAACTGGTCAATGGTGCCAAGATTCTGTCCCTGTCCTTTATGGGACTCAAGTTCCTCGACAGCATGTCCTTCTTGCCGATGGCCCTCTCGCAGTTCCCCAAGGCTTTTGGTTTACAAGAACTGAAAAAGGGGTTTTTTCCCCACTTCTTCAACACCAAGGATCATGAACAGTACGTAGGCCCAATACCCGCCCAAGATTATTTTGATCCGCAAGGAATGTCGCCCTCCAGAAAAACAGAATTTGAGGAATGGCATGCCGCCCGAGTCGCCGAAAACTATGAGTTTCATTTTCAAGACGAACTGTTGGCTTATTGCCAATCCGACGTCCGACTTCTCAAGGAAGGTTGTCAAAAATTTCAATCAGAGTTCTGGGAGCTGGCGGGGTTCAACCCGTTTGAACATTGCATCACGATCGCCAGTGCATGCAATCGTTTTTTTCGCAAACATTGTTTGACACCTCAGACCATTGCCTCGGAACCTGTGCGGGGATGGCACGGCAAAGGCAAACTACATTCCCGCGCCACCACGGAATGGCTGTATTGGCAAGAACATAAGGAGCGCGAAGCTCGACATCAAGCGATCACCCCAGAAGAATGGGAACAGCACGACCTCATGGCTCAAGCCTATCCCAATTATCCGCATCCGTTCATGGAGCCGGACCAAATACGGCATGCCGAGAATGATGGCGAACAGACCCTCCTGATTCAGCAACGCCCGATCCACATCGACGGGTACAACCCACAGACTCGTACCGTGTATGAGTTCCACAGCTGCTTCTTCCACGGGTGCCCGCATTGTTTTCCCAATCGTCGCACTCCAATCTGTGCCCATGATGGCAAAACGATGCATGACCTGTACCAACACACCCTGGCGCGGGACCGAGCTATCCAGCAAGATGGCTACAATCTAGTAACCCAATGGGAGTGCGAGTGGAAACGTCTCAAGGCCGGCCGCGAGGATATCCAAGGGTTCGTGGACGGTTTGGGGCTCGTAGACCGCCTAGAACCTCGAGACGCGTTCTACGGAGGACGCACCGAAGCCGTGACCCTGTACGCCACCGCCGAACCAGACCAAGGCGAATCCATTCAATACTTGGACTTTACCTCCTTGTACCCCTGGGTCAATAAAAATTGCACGTACCCAGTGGGCCATCCAGTCATCCTGACAGAACTTGGTTCCACCGACTTGTCGTCCTACTTTGGTTTGGCCAAAGTCACCGTGCTGCCGCCTTATGGGTTGTACTTGCCCGTGCTGCCCTACAGAGCCCAAGGAAAACTGTTATTTCCCCTGTGTCGTTCCTGCGTCGAAGCCGAATTGGCCAAACCGCTCTTAGAAAGGAGTCATGACTGCCCTCACGCGGACAGAGATCGCACTCTGACTGGCACGTGGACCACCGTAGAATTGGAAGAAGCCATAGCCCAAGGCTACGACATTGTTAAAGTGCATGAGATCTGGCATTTTCCACAGACCTCCACCCAATTGTTCACCCAATACATCAACACCTTCTTGAAGATCAACAGGAAGCCGATGGATGGCCAGCCGACGTAGGTACAGATGAATTAAAACGACAGGACTACATAGCAGCCTACCAGCAACACGAAGGGGTCCAGCTGAACTACGCGCAGATCGAGAAGAACCCCGCGAAACGAGCCTTGGCGAAATTGATGCTCAATAGTTTTTGGGGCAAATTTGGCCAGGCCAGCAACAAATCGCAAGTGGAAAGCATTTCAAGTCCAAGCAAGTTTCACCGGCTCTTCAACCAAGATGACACCCACATCCACGCCATCCGTGTGGTCAACGAAGAGATGTTGGAAATCGTCTATAATAAGATTGCGGAAGCCGCACCCATCCAGCCTCACATCAACATTTTTATCGCCGCCTTCACCACCGCCCACGCCCGTCTGCATTTGTATCGTCAAGCCCTGTTCCTGTTACAGCCCCAGCAAGTCTTGTATATGGACACCGATTCCATCATTTACAAACATGCTCCAGGGCAACCTCAACTGTCCACCGGCGCGTACCTGGGACAGTTCAAAAATGAATTGGACACGGGAGATACCATTATTGAATTTGCCACGGCTGGGCCGAAAAATTACGGCTACGTCACTCGTCAAGGCAAAGTCGAGTGCAAAGTCCGAGGCTTTTCTCTGAATGCTCGCGGTCAAGAGCAACTGAACTTTGACATTTTAAAACGCAATGTCATGGACGAACTTCAGCATCCTCAAGCCCAGGCTAGATCTATTCCGATCTTTAACCCCCATAAGATCGTGCGCGATGAAACAACCAAGCGACTCGAAACGAGAACCGAAATCAAGCGCTATCAGTTGGTGGCGAGCAAACGCGTGGTGGACCCTGACGACTTTCACACGTACCCCTATGGCTTCACCCCTGTTCCGCTGGAAGACGCGTGGAGTGATGACAATGACAGTGTATTTTACCTTTAAATGAATGTTGAAAAAACATAAAAAACCCTAAAAAAATTTAAAAAGCCAAAAACCCCAAAAAAGCCCAGCAACAATGAGTGAAGGGAGTGGTGCCTTCATGACACCCCTGTCTGAGAACGGATAATACGCGGCGGGCCCAATAAGTGGCCGCGGGGGACTGGGAACCCACATGTTGAATCTAGGAGACATTTCGTGACACTTCCATTTTTTTTTTATTGGGTACGTTGAGGACAATAATAATGACATGTATTTAGTCGATTCTTGTTGCGAAAGTAGGACCAAGCAACACAACTACCCATTGTACATGGTGTAAAAAGCAAATAAAGCATGTCTTTTTTCACACACAAAGAAGAAAACAACAACAAAATTACAATTTGAGTTTGCGTTTCGCTTGCATGATTTTTTTGACAAGGGCTTCGGTCCAAGTCTTTTTTCCCGGTAGGGCTTGAATGGCGCCAATCATCTTGTCATCGGCTTTCCACTTGTCCTGGATATTGCGCGCGCGAGAATAATCGATGTCATGTTGTTTGGCAATGCGATCCAACCGGTTGATGCCGGGATCTCCGCGCTTCAGGCGTTTCTCCAAATGGGTGCCAGGCCCCATGTATTGGTACCCCGGCCAATGAAATTCGATGCCTGTCTTGGCCAACCATTTTTGCACGTCCAATCCCCCACCATGCATCCGACGGCGGCGCAAAGGCCGCGACGCGCGCCGGCGGCGTCTAGTAGTCCTTGCCATCGAGTTTCCGCTGGACTTTCTCTCCCCACTCGCTCCAACCGGGTTGACGTTTCAACTTGAGCACTTCCTTGGCCAGTTGTTTTCCCTCTTTGACGGCCTTGGGGAGGTGATAACTGAAGCGGGTTTTCTTCTTGGCAGGTGCAGGGGAAGAAGACGGTCCTGCCAGGGGAGACTTGCCTTTGCTCAACGTCGGCGTCGTCTTGCTCTTGGAGGTGCTGGGGATGGGCACCGCCAATTCTTCTTCCCAATCGTCGTCCGGTAACGGCAACGAGATGGGTGTCTTGGGCGGGATTTTCGGCTTGGGTGGGAGTTTCGGCTTGCGTTTGGGTGTGGCCTTGGGTTGCGGGGTACTGCTTTTTATAAGCGTTTTCAAGAAGGTCTCCATGGGTCCTTGGGCAAACTCGTCGTCGTCGTCGGCCCCCGCCGCTCCTCCAACTGCCGGGAGGTTCATGGTCCTCACGCGTTTAGTGGCCCGCCGTACCTCGGGTCCCAGGGCCTTGACGCGGATCTTCTTAGTGGCCGGCGGAATCTCGGGGGACGCCAGCAAGACGTGTTGTTTGGCCGCCAACCGCGCGGCATGCGTTAACCGCGAATTCTCCATCAACGTCCCTTTGTATTGTTCCACCAGTTGCTCCATGTCCGCCGGGGACACCAGGTACTTTTTCTGGTACGGCCCGTGACTCATCCTGTCAGGCAATGACGACATACGCGATCCAAGGCGTGCCACACTCCCGCCCCGGTTTGAGCCATCATGACGTACCGTCGCCGTTTTATGGAATGTTTGCGACGCGCCATCTCGCGCAAAGCGCGCTTGTGCGGACGCAGTTGATCCAAGAGTCGAGGCGGGACGGACACATTCCCTTTCAAGGTGTTCATCACCAGCTCGCTGATGGCATTGACTTGATCGGCATTGGCGTGTTGCAATCGTTCCCGTCGCACGTTCTGGTCGGCTTCTCGCAACACGCTCCGCAAAAAGGGTAGTTGTCGTTGAAGGCGTCGCACCATGGTGTCGTGTTCCCTGGGACACGTTCGAGGGTGTCTTTATAGCTTACTTGGCCCCGGCGATCTTCATCCATCGGTTGCTCATGTCGCGAACCAGGCGCTGGTTAGCCTGCGCCTGCGCCCAAGAGATTTTCCCCACGCGTTTCTTGCGCGTCGCGGCCTCCAAGCCTTTCTTGACCCCGTACCCCGCGGCACCACTCACCGCCCCGGCCGCAATGGCCTTGCCGCCTGCGATGAGCAGAGGCACGAGAAAGGGTAAAATTCCCCCTTGTTGCCAACTTCGTCTCCGTCGCCGCCTTCGTCTGGGTAGGACCATGATGTCAATGGGACGGGGTGGAGGATGGACTCTGTTTTTATAGGCTCTCTCATCATCTTCTTCCTCTACGATCGAGGGCTTTCTTTACGCCATACCCTACGCCGCCACTAATGGCACCCGCCGCCGCAGCCTTGGCGGCTAAGAGGCCTAGAGGAATGAGAAAGGGTAAAATTCCCCCTCGTTGGTAGTGGCGTCGGCGTCGGCGTCGATAGCTGGCTCGTCGTCGGCGTTGAACCATGATGCCAATGGGATAGGGTCCGACACGGACTCTGTTTTTATAGGCTCACATGATGGGGCAATTGAACGATTCGCCCGCGTACTTTTTACGCTTGCCGCTCGCCACCTCGGCTCTTCTTTTTCGGCTAATCTCTTGGGCTTTTTTCTCTTGACGTTCCCCAAGGGCTTTGGTGGCCCCATGCGCCGTCTTGAAGATGCCCGTGATGAGGCCCGGTGAGACGCCGCCTCGTTGCGATCGTCGCCGACGGCGGCGAGGTGGGGTCTGGCGTGTTTTCCTAGCACGGCGAGGCATCCTGAACTCTACGCAATGCCAGAGAGGATGTTCGGATTTTATAGGTATCTTTTTGGGTTGCACTCATCCCACACGTTCGTAGAGCTCCGTTAGGCCTTCTTCCGGTAACACGTTGGTGAAGAGACGGTACCGATCGTCGGACGCGGGATGCAAGTCTAGCATCAAATAACCAAAAGGACGTTGCGTGCATTCGCGAAAGATGCGGAGAATGTGCGACCATTCGGTCGGAAAGGCCTGCAGCGCCAAGGTGCGCATGCCCACCTGATCTCGTGGGTTTTTGAAGGCCACCATGTAATGCGCATTGCGCGAGATCGTCTTGGCAAATTTTCCGGGTGGGAACAAATCTTGACACAGGAAGATCACGCTAATATTGCGGTGATGCGAGTGCTTGGAAAAGAGATCCAACACGCGTTTGTCGTTGGCACCTTCCTCCATGAGATCGTCTACCACCAACAACCCTCCTTCTCGCGGTCCAAACCATTGATCTAACTCTTCTGGGGTGGGAAGACCTTCGTGAAATTGAACGGCCATCTCCTTCTTCATGCCGTCAAAAGCAGGTTGCCACGCCCCATAACAGTAATGCTTTACCCGAGGAGTGGGGTGCATCAACGTCTCGGCGTGGCGCAAAAACCCGCGCGTCCAGGTCGATTTCCCGCACCCCGAGGGGCCGCCCACAATCGTGTTGCTGGGATGTCGAATCATCCTCGTTCTGTCACCACGATGGCGTACAATCGAGGGCAGGCGTCTTTTATCAGAGTCAACATCGTGTCCACCACGGCCGTTTCTGGGCATTCTTTTAAAGTGCGGGCCAATCCCTCCCAGTCGCCTTCTCGCGCGAAACGACGAAAAGTGGTGTAGTGTCGATAATCCCACGTCTCATGCAGAACGTCGACGGGATTAAGAAGAATTTCCATCAACACGCGTTCGTCCAGGGCTTCCAGGACGCGTCGCACATCTTGTCGCGTAATCATTCTCACAAAAAGAACGTCGCCGCGAGCGCACCGGTTTTATGGAGCGCCCGCGACGACGTGGCGTGGAACCTATCGGACTCGAACCGATCACCTACGGCGTGCAAAGCCGCTGCTCTACCTACTGAGCTAAGGTCCCTTTTTTCGAGTACGAGGCACCCCCGCGGTCAGACTCGGTCATACTGCGCAAGGGTGGCACTATTCTTGAACACCGGACGTGCCCACCACCGGCCGGGAGAGAACCCTTGGGCATCGGACCGACCACTCGCGCGAAGGCCCTCCCGCACGCACTTCCTGCCTTGCACCTGTCCCCTTTATATTCCCGTCCCTCTTCGTGGTCTTACCCTTGTGGGACACACACAAATAAAACGACACACGCTTTCTTTAAGACTCGTTTAATGAAGGAAATAAACAACGTCGAGATACACAGCGTTGGGCGTCCGGTCGTCCATCGGGTTCGTCCATGGCGGCTTCGTCCAGTTTCGTCTGTATCCAAGCACGGACGCGTTCCCCCACGCGATGATCGTTCCACACGTAATCGCCGTCTCGAAAACTTTCCACAAACTCCAGCAAGGTCCGTCGACGCACGCGGTCTTGCAGGTAGGCAAAGGCATAGTGGCCACAGGCCCGACTGTCGTAGGCCTGCAGGGTCCTGTCGGTACGCACCACATACTTGCAATGCTTCGCGATCCACTCGTGCAATCCCGGGGCGTCGTAGACGGTCAACGGTAACCCGTAACTGTCCATCACTTCGCACACCCCCTCTTCCGTCCAGAGACCCAACCAATGCTGGCCCGGTTCGCCGGCCGGGTCCGTGTTGACGATGTAGGCGCCTCGGGTGGTCTTGGGCGGGTGCTCGGGCAATCGATCGGAGGGATAGACGCCTTGGAACACGCGCTTCAACTCGGGGTCGGAGAGCGCCAAGGCTCTCAATTGACGATCGCTCAACGCCACCAGTTCCATGGTCCAACTACGCCCTGGAACCCTTTACACTTTGTTATCATACGTCACGGCACCCAGGTGATCGATGTAGATGACGCTTTCAAATTCTCCCCACACCAAGATAGTGATGTTGGCGTTCAGGGCCGCTCTGAACTTGATCTCCAGACGCACGTTGCCGGTCTGCTTGGGATTGAGTTTGGGGCCATCGGCGTCCCCGCTGGGCACGTTGTTCCACATGTACAGGGTACAATTCTTGTTGTGCCCCCAATCGCCCGGTTTGACCATGAACTCGCGATGTTTGGCCACGGACCCGGCTGCGTCCAAGAAGCGACGATAGCCTTCCCAATCTTTCAGCGTATTATTCCCGGCGAATTCCAGGGTGACGTACGGGTACTCTTCCCCCTCGATAAACTGTCGAATGGACGTCACCCCTTTGCTCTGGAAGGCAAACGGGTACTTTTCCTTGGCCCCATTGAAGGCCGTGCTGTCCAAGATCCCCACGATCATGCGCTGGGGTACCCTACCCAGGAAGAGGTTATCTTCCATCCACACGGTGGTGGCCCCGTTGAACGAGAACGTGCGAATCTGATCACTCACCACCGGGTACTTGGCCACCTCCTCATTGAGCTTGCGCTCCCCTTCCAGGGACGCATAGACATCCGGGTTGAGATTCAGTCGACACAAATGCAAGGTGATGTCCACATCTTGTTCTCGCAAACGAACGTACTGTTTCGTGCCGTCGTTGAGAGACGCCCACGTGTAGAAATCGGGACTGTTGAAGTGCAACTCAAAATTCATTTCCACCCCGGGCACCATGATCTTGCCCGTGTGGAACACGGGTAGGTACGGCCGCATGATCAAACGGACCACGGCATTGCCCCGGAAAGGGGTGGTCAGGGTCTTGAGCAGGTGATCCTCGTTGTGACGGGACCCTACCAACGTGCTAATGTCGTCCGCACCACTGGTCAACGTGGGCCACACGTTCAAGAAATTGACCCAGCCTTGAGGGGCCAGCAACGTCTCTCCATCGTCCTGGCTGTAGTTGAGCAGGGTCTGGAGATAGGCCGAGTAGGCGTAGGTGTCGGTCTGTTCGGTCATCAGGGTGCCATTGAACCGCACGTTGATCTGCTTGAAGATGGTGTGGGCCAGGTTGTTGACGGCGTACGTGAACTTGGTGTTGTTGGCATCCGACGCCGAATTGGCATCGGCCACGATGCCGTTCTGGCCCGCCGTGGACAAACGCAAGTCGACGACAAAATAACTGCGATTCAAATCCACGTAATCTTCCAAGGCCTGCACCGAGAACTTCATCGGGGTGATGCTGCTGCTCAATTTGTGGTAGGGCACTATTTTGTAACCCTGCAATTGATAGTCGGTCGACGGGACCGAGAAAATGTCCAAACTGCTCATGATGCCGAGGACGAGGAGTGCGTCTCCGCCTCAGCGGCGGCGTCGTTTTATACGCATCCTGGACGCCACCCATTTGTGGAAGTCGTACCCCGGCGGCTTGGGAAAGTGAGGACCGAGCCATCCGCCGCGCTGGGCGCGACGTTGCTGGGCCAACAACCATTTGGTCAAGTCGTACGCGGGTGGCTTGGGCACGCTCGCACTGATCCATCCTCCTCGTTGTCGCCCAAACGGCGAGGGCACGCTCCGTTGATAGCGAGGCCGGGATTGCACCACCAACCTTCGTGGACGCGTCATCTCTTACACGCCCAACACGTCGCGAATGCGTCCGACCGTGTTCCGATACCCTTTCTTGGCCGTCGATGCCGCCGACCTCTTGGCGACCGTTGTGGCAATGGGGAGAGCCTTGCGTTTCAACCCTCTTTTTATCTCTTGGCCGGCCGCCCGTGCCACCCCGCGCCACGACTGCCCTTGGGCGCCCGCCCGCGCCCCGACTTGGACGGCAGTGGCCAGAATCGGTCCGCCCAAACGATAGAGATCCTCTCGAAGTCCTCGTCCATCCTGCGGTGGCAGGGGTGGTGGACGGTACCGCGTCAGACTGCCTCCCCACATGATGTGATACGTTCCCCCGAGGCACGCGCCTTTTTTATACGTCTCGTTTGAACACGAAGGTGATCAGGGTGCGTCCCGAGCCGAACTTGACCAACCCTCCGTGACTCTCGGCGATTTCCACCTCCACGAGGTCCATGTACTCGCGCCGACACGGTAACCACTGAATGTGCAAGGGTTCAAAGTAGGCCACGCCCTGGCCTAGGCGCCGGTACTCCACTTCGCGCACCAGCGCATGTTGTTGGCCACCGACGATATTGCTGTCCACCAGGTCCGAGTAGACCAGAAAGGTGCGCGAGGGTTCCCCCACCACGTTTCGGAAGGCCACGTTCAAGTTGCTGAAGCGCCAATTGAGGGTCTGACTCAACTGCAGGAGGCCGCTTTCCACTTTCCACAGGTCGTGGTTGTTTAGTTCCGTGTTCTTGACGTCTTTGTAATAATTCCCCGTCTTCTGCGTCTTGTAAATGAGTTCGTAACGGAGATTGGGCCCCAAGGCGTACTTGTCCTTCCCCGTCTCCACCAGCCACCCCATCAACTTGGCCATGGTCACGTGCACGTGCCATTCCACGAACATCATGCCAGTCGTCAACGCGATGTCGTCCAACTCCTTGGCCAGCATGCGCAGGTCCTCGCCGTCCCATTCGTACGTGACCCGAAACCGGTCGTAGAGTCGTTTACTCTTCGCTTGCGCTTCTTTCATCTCGTAAAACTGCGATTTTCGTATGAGGACTTTCATCAGACTCACCCCATCCACCACGCCGGGATCGTGCATGATATCCTTGATCTGCATGGTGGTCTGATGGTGGTACGGGACGGCGTCGGCCCTCAAACTGTTCACCAACTTGCAGCCCACCTTGAACACACGTGGGTTGACGGCATTCGTGAGTCTCGACAAGTCCAAGGCGGCGTCCGGGGTGGAGATGGCCGCCAGCCCCACCTTCCATCCGTCCCCCTTCAATTCCAAAGGCACGGGCAGGCGCACTTTGAACGAACTGGTGGTGTTGGTGGGAAACTCTTTGGTCGGATCGCTGACCAACACGATGCGATTCATGCCTGGAAATGCAACGTCACTTGCGTCTCTCCCGCCGGGTTCAAGGTCATCAACTGGCCGTTCGTCTCGGCCACTTCCACTTCGAGAATCTCCAGCGTGTCTCCACGCACCCGGTGATACTGCACGTGTTCCGGTTCCCACCGGATGGGTTGGTCTTTATAGGGTAGGTCTCGCAAGAAATTGGTGATCTGCGTGCCCACGATGCTGCTCTCCCCCACGTTGCAATAGAGGTGCACCGGACGCGTGGCCGGCTCCCCGTGCGACACAGGCGTCACCGTGGTCTTTTTCTGTTTGTCTTGACTCCCCTTATGCGTGGGCTGGGTGGTCGTTTCGGTGGTGCTGCTGGTGGACGTGGTGGTGGTGCCTCGTTGAATGACCGGATGATCGTCGTACACGTCGTCGACTTGACTCATGGGTGGCCACGGCGCCCCGATGGTGTACCCGTAGACCACCACGTAACATTGATCCGTCAACGTGGCCGGGTACGAGGTGGGCACGTCGTCGATGGTCACCGTGACGTGCAGCCGGGACGAACTGTCCGACAACGACGTCAACCGGAAATCTTGCACGAGGCGATGGTAATACACCAAGTGCGTGCCCAGGTATTCATGCACGTGCGTTGTCACCGCCGAATCGATCATTCGCACGTAGAAACTCGTGTAGGCACTCACGCGCGTCTTGTCAAACAAGACCTTGTCGGTCGTGTAGACCTCGACCACCAGTCGATACGTGTTCGCCTTGCTCAGCTTGGTGGTGCCGATGACCCAACGAAACTTGGGTTCGTACTTGTTGCCGCTTTTCGTCAACGTCATGCCCATGGTCTTCTTCTTCCAATAATGGGGGGAGCCTTCCAGATTGACAAACCCCAAGGAGCTAATGCCCGCCTCTTTCGTCCACACGCTCTCGTCGTCCATAATCCATCGGAAATGATTCCACAGGACCTTGGGAGGGACGAACACGTGCGTGGTGGCCTGGGCATAGGCTTCGTCCAACTTCACAAACTGCCAATCCACCACCATGGACAGATACACCATACCCCCGTTCACGTGCACGTAGTTGGAAAACGTGAACAATTGGTTCTTATCCGCGTCGGCCCCCACCTTTGGGACCTTGGGCTGGTCCAAATGCGCGTACATGACCAAATTGGGTCCCAGGTCGTACGACTGGTCTTCCTTTTTCACCACCCATCCCATCGTTTGCCCCAACACCAGATTGAACCCCAAGTAAGGGCGCGGTTTGTTGTAGGTGACATCGGTTTTACTATTCAGGATCCAGAACGTAGGCACTCCCGCCTCGTCCTTCCATTCGTACCGAGGGGCATAGTCCACCTGGGTGGTGCCAAAGTTATACCCGGTCCTGAGTTGTTTCATCCTATCTTGCTGCCACCAACGGAACACTCTCTTCATAAACTCCACCCCCGTCGCGGCTTCGGGCATGTCGGCGTCCTCCATGGTCGAGGTGAACTCTTGCGTTTCACTCCCATCGGTTCCCTTGAGGGCTCGGTTGTACCATCGAAAGAGACGTTGGTTCCTCGAACCCTTGTACAAATTCGATTGTCGATGTTCCGTGAGAGGCGCGGTCGGATGCGACGTCACGGGATGTGACGTCACCCCGTGCGACACCGTGTTGGGCGGTCCGGGTAAGTAGACCCCGGCCACGCCCACCTGCCAGTTCTTGACGCGCAGGGGGTACGGCAATCGCACCTTGAAGGAAGCCGGGGTATTGTGGGGAAACTCTGGCTTGCTGGTGTTACTCAGCAGCGTAACATACAGCGACCGACTCGACGGTTCCATGCTGATCACAACTGGGTCAGACTACTCTTGGGAATCCAACTGTCGTACTTTGGAGGCCACCCTTTCCAACGCACCTTGACCTCTTGGCGTCGCCGCTGCAACACCTTCTCCACGCGAAACAAAGCGTCGTCCGGCACGTCGACTTTCTGTACGTCCTGTTCGTAGAAGGTGCCTTCAATGGGCTCTCCGTCCCACTCCTTGATTTTATAGGTGGCCACGGGCCCCGGCACGGCTCGGTCGATGATGAACACCTCTTCCGTCCACCCGGGCAAATACCCTTTCTCGAACGGCCGGTGCTGTTTCTGTAATCGGACGCGATCGCCCGGTTTCCATTGCGGACGCACGCGACGGGCCAAGCGTTTGCCGTACAGACGTTGCCACACCTGGCGCTCGTCGGCCCGCGTCACGTCGCGAGGGGCCATGCCAATGCTTCGATGTTTGGTGGCGTTGTACCCTTGCACCAAATAAGGTAAGGCATCCACGTACCGGTAGGTGTTGCGGGCGGTAAAGTAACGGTACATACGTTCTTTCAAGGTACGATTGAATCGTTCCACCACCGACGCCTTGATATCCCCGCGGGTCGAGAAATGATGAATGTTGTGTCGCGTCATCACACCCTGAAACAAGCGGTTGTAGAACTCTTTCCCGGCGTCCGTCTGCAATCGCAGAGGCTGTCGCCCCCTAGCCCGCTTCAGGATGCGCTCGAACGCCGCCGCCACTGCCTTGCCGGTCTTGTCCTTCAGAGGTTCCACCCAAGCGTATTTTGACAACACGTCCACCACCGTCAACAGGTACCGCACCCCGCGATTCCACTTTTTCAGGGCTTGCATTTCCACTAGGTCGGCCACCCATTGTTCGTCCATCCCAAGCACCACCACGGGGAGAGTGGGGAATCGGCGACGTCGAGGCTTATGCAACGTGTAACTCAACAAAGGTTGCAACGCTCGACGGGCGCGCCCAATCGACATGCCCTGCGCTCGCGCAAAGCGCTCAATCCCCCCCAAACTCCCCTGGCGCGAGGGCGTTTCATAGGCCTCGGCCCAACTCACTCCGCGCTTCTTCTTCTTACTCATGGCACCCGCGCTGCAAGAACAACAACACGACCCCCGTGTAAATGTGTTTTTCTTTTATTGAGTTAAAATACCCCCAGGCTGCTCCCTCAGGCGACTCGCCCCTGGTCTCTCTCTCCGGGCCTGATAAAATCGGGGACTGCTTGCTGTCGCGTTTCTCGGTCGTCCCATTTAACCGCTTGCGTCCGTTTGCGATGCTCGGTCCATCGTTTCTTGTGCATGGCTTGCCGGGAAACCATGCATGTCTCCTTCAAGGTAGTGGGGGTCTTGCTTTTCGAGCAGTTGGCGTTCTACGTGAAGACGCTTCTGTCGCTCCTCTAGAAAACGGTGCTGATAGTGATGACGTTCTCGCTGATACTGATGGCGTTGTTGCTCAAGAGTCTCTCTTTCAGCCGTCAAGTCCACTATTTTTCGAGTCAACTGCACAATTTCTTGCACCAGGCGCTTGATGGTGGTGGGATTCTCGGGGTCACTCATGCCTTGCAGACCGAGGAATCGCCCTTCTCTTGATGCAATTCTCGCCAAAAGCCCGCACCCGTCTGATTCCGGCGCAAAGTGCGTCGCCGTTTTATTGATTTCTTTAAAACAATCCCACTCCGGTTAAATTCTGGAAGGCGGGATTCATCCCCAGATGATCGGACGTCAACGTCGTTGGCCAGGCAGCCAGAGTTTCTTCGTCGGGTTCTTGCTTCCCAGGCATAATTCCTAGTAAATGGCTCGTGATCTTCAGGGATAAGGGTACATTAATCCATTGGAAAAACTCACAGTCTTTCTTGCGGCAGCTTAAGAACAGGCGATGGGGATTCTTGGTGGTTTGACTCAATCGGAGTCGGACTCGTTTCTGGCAGAAACAGCACATACTTTCCCAATAGGTTCGGACTTCACAGTGGACTTGTTCTAGGAACAACCGTTCGATGAGTTGAAACTTCTCGATGGGACAGGAAAACGCACAGCTTTCCTCTGGACAATACAGGTAAATCCACTCTCCGCTCGTTTGGCGCAACGTCAACAAAGGATGCACAGGACAACAAAAAGGCGGCACTTGTTCCACACACGAAGGGACCGTGGCTTCATCTTCTTTGACTTTTTTGCTGGGAGGGTCCGGTTTTTTTTTCCCGCCTTTCTTGCGTTTGTATTCATAGGGGTACAGAGGCATGTGCCCCTCTTTCTTAGCGACCACCGGGCCGGCGCCGTCTTCTCCCATGATCGCCTAATGAGTTCCGTTTGAAAAGCCTCTCTCTTCTTATAGGGCCCCCCGAGTGACGACACAGGTCACCTGACTCCCGCCTATTGGGACCTCTCACCTTCTGATTGGGTCTTTCCTTTTTCTACGTAAGGCCTCTTTGCCTTGCAATCAGCCTCAGTCACCTCACGGAATGGATCAAGACGAAGAGATGATGGACATTCCCCGCCTCAACGATTATCGGATTGTGACAGGAGGCAGCCAAGGCGCCGAGCAGGCCGCCGAAACGCTAGCCTTAGAGTATGGCATTCCTGTCACCATCAAGATTGGCCCGAATCACCCCCGAAGCACCCACATCACCCCCTTGACCCGAGAAGACTTGGAAAACGCGTGCGAACCGCTCGGCCACGCGGCTTATGCGTTAGGTCGCCCCGTGCCTAAGAGCCCTATCGCCCGCGAACTATTACTCCGTTATTACTTTGTCGTGAACGAGGCGGACTCGATCTTTGCGTTTGGGTATTTGAGTGCCAGTCAAAAACAAGTGCAAGGCGGGACAGGCTGGGCCGTTCAAATAGCCGTGGATTTGAACAAACGCGTCTTTGTCTACGATGTGAATTTTCATCACTGGTACGAATGGAACCCTTCTTCGACAAGATTGACGCGCATGACGTCTCGATTTCCCATTCTGGCCCCCAGAAGCGCTATCATAGGATCCAAAGCCTTTCCCAGCCAAGCTCAGGGCGCCATGAAGAACCTATTCGAGCGGACAAGTCAAACCTGAACGTCACGTAGGCAATACTTATTGATCCTATTGCATAAAGACTCTTTTGTTTCTATACAACAATACCCTTGCATGCCACTACATTTTGGGAACAATACTCTTGGACAATACGTTATTAGAACACTCCTTTTTTTTTATAAGCCAATTAGAATATCTGTTTAGTCAAGTACTGTGAATAGCGTAACCATTCTTTGCTAGCCATTCCAGAATGTGCCCCACGGGACGAAGATGAAACCCGTCGATGAGCGCAACTTACGCTCCGTTTGGTCAAGAACCTCTTGATGTGTGACGTCACCCCTAGGCAAAAGTATAAAGGCTCTGCCCCCGACGAACCCTTCAGTGTCCGACAAACGCCGCCCATTTCAGTGCTTCATCCGTGCCGTGTTAGGAATCTCTGAGCTATCCGCCTTGCTACACCCTCGAAGCAAGTCACCGCTCGACTCGCTCTTTGAAACGATGCATGCCGCCTACTCTACGACCCCCGTTATACCCCTTCCGGAGAACGTCCCCTACGGATCGACTCTCTTCCCCATCGGCGATATCTAAAGAAAAAAAAAGATGGAGCAAGGACCTCTGAAGAACGGGCAGTTGGACTATTTGGCGCGACACCATCCCCCGTTAGGGCCTGGTTTTCAAGGCGTGTTTGCCAGGAATCCCTTACCCAACAAGCTCATCACCGCCAAACCCGCCGCGTACCTCGTCAACTAAGATCCCGCCGGTCCCCAGGACCCCCTTGGCTCGCCCTCTGGACGCACGGCCAACATTGCGATTTCTTGAACAGTGACGACCCTCCCCTTGAAGACCTATGCAGGCCCTCTTCTCGAGCAATAGGTGCAGGCGCATTGGAAACATCTGCTCACCAACGGAAAAGCGTTGCAAGCGTACCCGAGTCAAACCTGTGGTCATAAGGTCAACGATCGTTTCATAGGGCAAGCCCTCCAACGCGTGAGTCTTCGAAACCCGGAGAGATGGGAACATGCAGGTCCATTCCCTTTTGAGCAATCTTGTACTTCTAGACTTGAGATGTAAACTGTTCACTGATTTTTTTAAAAAAATAGGAATAAAAAGGTTGTTGTTTGGTGCTAACTTGGCGAGTGCTTGCATGCCCCAAGCCCGGTGGCGCAAGGGGTAGCGCGTTCGATTCCAAATCGAAAGGTTGGTGGTTCGACTCCACCCCGGGCTTCCGGAGTGGATCCTCGGTGGGAACTATTCCTTCTTCTTCTTCATCTTTTTGCTGCCTGATCTTTCTTTTTCGTCTTCGTGCACATGTCTTCCCAGAGAGTATTTGTCTAGGCGCGGCGAACTATCGAGGCTCCTTTTTTTTCAAAAGGCCCCAGGGAAGCCTAGTCTCCACCAAAAAATACAAGCCCCAGCGACAAGCAGTGAAAGGGGTGGCCTCGTCCTTAGAACGGATAATACGCAGCCTCTTCCTCCAAGCTGCGGGGGGCTGGGAATCCACCATTTTTCTTCTTCTTCCACAAAGCGCATGCGCCCTCGCGAATTTTTTCCCGTACCACAAGGCTAACCCTAATCCTAACCCTTCACCCTTAACCCTAACAGTAACCCTGGCCCTAAACCTTCCACAACGCGCATGCGCCCTCGGGAATTTCCCGTACCACAAGGCTAAGCTCGAACCCTCCTCCTCCTATATAACCCTAACCCTAACCTAATCAAGTAAGGTACCCTAACGCGCATGCGCCCTCGTGAATTGGCCTTACCACAAGGCTAAACACCCCCTCTTGGTCTCATATATAAGATCAACCCTCCCTTTTCTCTAATCAGGTAAGTACCTCCAACGCGCATGCGCTCTCGTGAATTGGCCTTACCACAAGGCTAAACAAACCCTAACCCTAAACCCAACCCTAACCCTAACCTGACACCCCCGCCCTCGAGCGGATAATACGCATCGGGCCCAATAACCCGTTGCGGGGGACTGGGAATCCACATGCGCATGCGCCCTCGTCCATTCAGCTTCCCACAAGGCTCCTCCTAACCCTTAACCCTAACTTTCCACCACGCGCATGCGCCCTCATGAATTTTGGGTCTTACCACAAGGCCAAGACACAACCCTAATCCACAAATATAAACCCTACCCTAACCCTAACCTACTCGGGTTACAAGAGGCTCTATTAGCCCTAACCCTAACCTCTCCCTCTTCAGGTAAGTATGTCCCCTCTCAACCCACCCCTCCCCCACATATTTTTTCGAGGACATTTCGTGACGCTTACATGAAGTAGTACCTGCGCCAAACCCGCCCCTATTACTACTCGTGACATTAAAACTTGCGTTAATGAGATCACTAACGTACATACTGTACTCAACCTTTCTTTCTACCTTCCTTCCTTCCTTCTCTATAATTTCTGCCGCGAAATTAGACAAATGAAGCCTTTGCATAAAATTTGAGAGAAAGAACGAGAGGAACGGCGGGGCTATGTGATCCAGGTTATGCGTCCCTGATGTAGCTTCTTTTTTGTCTTTTTCATGCGTTCCTTTTTGAGGCCACTGAGCGCTGTTCGTTGGCGGCCCGTAACTGAGTTTACGTAACTCCTTATTTGGGAATCAACCAGTACTACGTAGCTGCTACGTAATTTAGCTCATTTTTCTTTTTATTGTGTTTTAAAAAACATGATACTTGTTTCATAGGAAGAACGCAATAAAACTGAGTTGGTTTTACGAGAATAAGGTCGAAACCTCCGCTAGCATTCACTTCTCTGCAACGGCCACAGTTTTTCGTCCCGGCAGACAAAAATCCATACATTGACTCTTGTTTAAAACCTCTCTACAACCGCCACTTTCCTCTGTCCCCAAGGTGGCCGTTGTAGAGAAGTTCAACTGTGCAACACTGATCATTAACAATAGGCCACTTACGAGTTTCAAAATCCCTCACTTTCAAAATGAGGCCAAGAGCGTAACCTTTCTTGTGAAAATAAGTTTTATTTGCTTGAGAATGAAAAATCATATCCATGAAGGCTGAGTAGTTAACCTCTTTTTGATATATAGACCCGGCGGAACTCGGAAAAGGCCTATTCAGCGTTAACCATGTATGACCACCACATTGGTCAGTTGCTGTAGCAATGGGAGGCTTCTTTTCTCCCAAATGCGACAATTTTTGGGGCGCTTTTAATTTTCGAGCAAATACGGCTTGGAAGATTTAAAAAATTGTGATTTTTGTGCGTTTTCCCCGTAATCAACTACGTCTTGTTTACTTCTTTTGTCCGTAAGTTAAAGATAAATAAACAGTCACCCAGGAATGAGTATAATTTTCAGCCAACATGGGGACGTGAAAGCCTTTTGCTGCAGGCGTTCAGATAGTCGGCACAGGGAGCCCAAAGAATGGTTACCAGAGGCAGTATTGCTCGTGTGTGGCGGGATGCTTCGAAGTCGGCCGCAGGCTGACGGATCTTGGGCAAATGAAGAGTCTCTGGCACATAGGGTGTTGATATGTTACAGGAAATATATAGGAGTCACAAAAATACTTTCTAGTAATAGGCTCCTTTTTCTTTATTGTAATATGTTGAACATTGCCTACAAGATCAAAATAATAATAAACTTTTTTATCCTTAAATGTTGTGTATTGTCTTTCTTGTAGCTGAGAACAGTGTATTACAGTGATTTGCAGGTTACTATACGTTAAGGTAAACTTCCAAAGCAACTGACCCTCCATATAAGTAGTAATGAGCTTAGTAGCTCTCAGCTATGCCCCTGACTGTGGATATTACGCTATCGTGTCAAAGTTCAAAGTAACATAAGTGAGGTAGATGAATTAAACAAACAGGATTAAAAAACGAAATTCCGTAGCTGTGCTTGATAAAAGATCCGCTTATAAGGTTTTCTAATCCCGTAATCTCGCCTAAATTCCCCCCAGTTAAAATTGAGTTGTTGATACCTTGAACTGAATTTTCCATGCGAGTGCTTTCGATGAGTAAAAAATAAATAACTCCAGTTGTATAAAAAAATCGTTTTATTGTTACTTTTTTAACATTAACTCTTCATCAACGATAAATATACAGTGTACAGAAAGCATAAATTAAGATCAAGTATCTCTGACTTGTGCAATGCAAATTCAGTTACTTGAAGAAACTAGGCCGCAATAATGTGTTCAGGCGAACGTTATTACCAAGGGGCTCTCCACCAGTACGTTTGTGAAAACACCTGCATCGCGCAATTAATTTATGCAAACTCCCTGAAATGGCCATGGTGACTTGCGACGAACGAAAGATGATCTTCATCACCCTCTATAAATTGAAATAAAAAAACGGCGCTCCTAGCCTTAAGGACATGCTGTACTGTTCAAGGAAGTTCTGTTCCTGGGGGCTTGTACCTCCGGCTCAGCCTAATAAACAAATAAGTAAATAAATAAATACTGAATTTAATCAGAATTGTAGATAAGCAACCCTGCTAATTTTTATAGCAAATTAGCGCTCAACTTCCAAGATCTGGTTTTATTATTCGTGGTGCATTTTGCGACTCTGTTAGCTTCTATCCTTATTGCTTGTGTGAAATTGTATGAAATTTGCGTGAAATGTATGGGGCTGTACGGAATCTTACCCTGACTGCTAAGATTCACACAATTTATTTTTACTGTGGCGCCTTTTCAAAGTAATGACTTAAAGATAGCTCTGACAGGATATCATTTTTAATATACATACCCAGATTTGGGAGGCTAAACCAACCATTTCTCTTAATCTGCGGGATAACTGATTATTTGGGTCTCGTTTTTTTTGCTGCTGTCTCTTCCTTTTTCTTGGAATAGTGAATCCTTCGGCGTGGTCTAACAGAACACAGCTTAGAAACAGCCATAAAGCGATGAAAATAAAAAGACGTTTGGAATCCATCGTTACTGTTTCTGGCCAGCAACTACTAGTTTGTAATTGAGTTCACCAAGCAATCAGTTTTTCACTGTAGACTGTGGACCTGAAAGTGAAGAAAATTTCATTAATCAACGGAGAGGGAAACAAATAAACAAGCAAACAAAAAAAACACTATAAAATTCATCGAAAAAGGTGGCGAAGACTCAGTAGTATTTTACAAGCAAGATGCAAGAGGTCATTGCCTCTTAATTATCACATTGTTGCGGCGTTTTGTAGCAAAGAAAAACTAATGAACTGGTCGACATTGTCCTACGCCAGAAAACATGAAGCTTATCTGATAGTTATGGTCAAGGTTTTCAGTCTTAGCCATTTGAAACTGGACGCGTGTTACACTGGGTAGAAGAGGTTTTTTCTCCCTTGAGGATCGAGGAATGCTTCGGTGCAGCGGCGTCGACAGATCTTCGGCCATAGTCCGAAGTCATGTGTGGCGGGCAAAGCAACTGGAACCACACATGGAAAGTCTCTGGCTTACCGATTGCAAAAGCGTGTTTGATATCTCCATTAAAAATTTTCTTTCCCTCACCCAGTGAGTTTTAGATTATGGCACCTTTCTATCATTTGATTAAGGTTGTTTGATTCGCTCGTTTTGACAAGAAAGACATTTGTTATGCTTGAAATGGAAACTTTGACATGTATTTTGTTGTGAATTGTGAGAGATCACGTTTGTTATAAAATAATTATTCATCTAATTTCAATCAGACAAAATAAATACATAATACTTGTAAGGTTCTATAATTTAATTTAAGCGCGTAATAAGTACGCGAGGAGAAATTCTGGAAGCACTGCGTTAATTAAAACTTACCTCCTAATTTAAAATCAATGTTGCAGTTTCACTTATCGCAGTTGCAAAAACACTCTCAAGCCTGTAATTTATACTAACCGGTAGCAATATATATCCTTTGTCTCTTTTTGCTATTTAGGTTGCTTCCGAGTTATTTTCAGTATGTTGCGGGTTATTTTCAATTTTTGATGTAGCTGAAGAACAGGCGAGAATAGATTGTTCGATTTTTACGTCAACCTCGGATAATCCTCCCACATAACTTGAAAATATTGGCATAATAAGCTGATCTGTTTCCTGTTCCTGTGAATACAAAACACTTTATGACAGAGAACGCTCTTTTTTCACGACAAGAAAAGAAACTGTATATGAAGTTTTCATTTTTAGTTATCTAAAAATCATTAAGAAAATTATTGCTTACTAATTGTCAGTTTAAAATGCCCTATTGTTTGGGTTGATCGACCGAGATTCCTAAATAGCGCCCCCCCCGAAAAGAGTGGGATTTAAAAAGCCTTCTTCTCCCTTCTCTTGGCTCCGTCTTCTCGTTCTTTCTCGCCTTTTCTTTATCCACCACTTGAGAGCCTTTTTACAGGCGATTATGTCTTTGATGTTCATCAAAAGTAACACAGAATTATGAAACTTGACCGAAATGTTTTTGTGGTCACAGAAGAGCAGCTTAGTCTAAGCTGAGGGGTGTTCAGAGGCCCGGGGCAGGAAACTTTTTGACCTCTTACGTAAATGGTCGCAGCACTCACTTAACGCCTTATTAAAGCAATATGAAACTTAGCAAAGACGATGGCGACGGCATCGAAAATGTTACTTGCGTTTTTCTAAACTTTCAGGTTGCGATTTAAATGTCAAATATAGGTGAATTTCCCTGAAACGAAATGAGGATGCTTATTACTCTTAAAAATATAATTCGTATCGTTTCCTTGCAAGCAAAGTTTTTTTTTTCCGACGTGGTTTTTAGCATGTACGACTGAAGTCATTTGCGCCACTGATGGTGACTTTTGAGTGGTGGCTAGTTTTATCATATAACCGTACGGCCCCGCGCCCATTTTTTTTGGCAAACCGTACGAAAGAAGTCCCGTATGAGGGCCGAATGTGTCAAGTGATAAAATGCCGAAAAAACACATACGACCCCGCTAGAAGCGCGTACTGATCGATGCGGGTTGAAACATTTTGTTGTCGTATCAAGTCTAATTTTCTTTGTCAAAAGTGAGCGATAAAAGCGAACTTCCCGACAGCGAATTCTCAGAATTTGACTACCTAGCTCGAGTGTCTGGGAGGAAACTTCTCTATCCTTGAGTACCAGTTAAGAATTCCGATTTACATTTTCTTTGTATTGAGTGAAAAAAGACCACTTTTGACCTTGACTTTTTCTGAATATTTGTACTTTGCAGCTGTAAACTCGTTCAAATTCACTTCACTGGCTTTCCAAATGAATGGCATGAAATCATTGGCTATTTGAAAAGTGCGCACAAAACGGGGTAAATTCTGCCATGGACGCGTTTTCGCTCCGTTAGAAAAATTCAAAACACAAACGGCATATGATAAAATGCTTATTGACTTAGATTGAGTTAGATCGGGCTGACGCGAAAGTATTTGGCTCTCGATCAGGACGCAGGACCTCGCTTAGCCTCTCACGCAGGCGTTTTTAGGGGAGCTCGTGTTTCGTCCCTCCCCACAAACGCGTTTGTGGGGAGGGACGAAATACGAGCTCCCCTAAAAACGCCTGCGTGGGAGACTAGACCTCGCTGTGCTCCCGCCTCGGTCCGTACGTCCTGACCTGGAGCCAAATATTTTTTGGTCCGGCCCTCCCACTCATTTAAAAAGTAGTACCATAACAGGCCAGAGGCCCGATTTTAAGTACTAGGCGACTTTGAAAGACGCGTGCTTCACATATTTGTGGCGGATTAGAATGCCGGCTTGGTTAGAGGCCCTTTGTATAAAACATGGCGGGATACTCGCAGCTTAAGGCAAGCATGTGCCTTGTAGCTGTCAACATAATGCTTTTTAATTACATTCTGTCATAGTTAACAAAACCCGATCCATGTTTGATTGAAAGTAATTGTACAAATCTGGTACCAGACAAACCGCTTTTAAAAAACAAAACAACAAAACTAGTTTATGGTTATTTCTCATTAATTTCACTTATCACAAAAAATTTTTACTTTTATCAGTTTTCCCGTTTCTTTCAAAACATTCTTCATTTCCGGGCGTTTAACTGTAGTCAATGAAAGACACGTTTTATCGGTCTTCTTTTACGCGGGAATATCAAAATTTCCATCTTTCAAAACGCGATGAACCAAAGCTTGCAGGGTACCAAAGCGCCAAAGGCGCACGATGCAGTCCCGGTGTTTTGTGAGCACCCGTTAAAAATATTGAACGCCAAAACTATCAAGTTTTGGTACAGCGAGAGGCAGCTAGTTTCTGTATCCAAAGGTTAGAGCATGGACAGGCTATCGAAAGAAAATAAAAGGGATGCTTGCCCAATGGATAGTGGGCCTAACTACGCAAATAAATGTCTCATTGCATCCTTGTCTGGGAGGTTAGTACTAAATTTACACTCTAGAATACATTACACAACTCAATCCGCAACACTTTGCAAGTAGAATTGGCGATCAGTGTGGGTAATTTATATTTCTAAGGGACGTCCGTCGCACAAAGGCTTAACGCGGGGGGGTTTTTAGTCAATGACTGACATAAGAATTTCCTCACAATCAACCCAGTTAGAGTGCGATAATGTGCGCGTGAACTTTGCCTACAACTGGCAATAAGCTGAATAAACCGGAAGCTGAACACCATGAATAAGTTACTAAATTATATCGCTCAGGTTTTTTTTCTTTCTTTTCAAGTACCGGAGGGGTTTTTCGCGCATTCTGTTGCTCAGTTTGGCAGTGATATACCGAGCATCAGACAGGTAACGCGCCGAAGCCACCATTTTACTCTTCTTCTACCAAACAGTTTTCCTGCAATGGTGTTAGTACTGGTCCCGTGGCTGAAACCTTGCACGAGCAAGATACGGTAATCGAGAGTCGAGAATCGAGAATCGATATTGTACTCGGGACAAGAAAAGGTCGCCGTCCAAGGAACAACTGATGCAATGCAAGAGCTTCAAGCTGCTGAGAATCGCCATTTCTGGATTACAAGCAGTGAAGAAACTCCTGAGAAGCGTCCAAATTATAAAGGAACTTTGGAGGCCAGTCAGCCACGGTGATTGTCGCACCACGCAAAAACTAGAATAAATTTGTTAGCCCCGTCTTGTCTTTTCCACAAATCACGTAAAACTATAAAGAAGGTACCACTATGAACTCTGGAAAATGAAAATTCAATAGTACTGTGGTTGACGACTGACAGTTTAAAAGAGAAACAACCTTCACCTCAGAATCTTGGGCGCGCCGCCTGTAAGCTCTGAGGGAGAGGGAAGCCCCATAATTTGGCCTATTTAAAAAAAAAATGACACTACAAAAATTACCTACAATTATAAATTCAAAAGGGAGACTACCATCACCTCAGAAACTTGGGCGCGCCGCCTGTAAGCTCTGAGGGAGAGGGTAGCCCCATAATTAATTTGGCCTATTTTAAAAATAAATGACACTACAAAAATTACCTTCAATAATAATTTGGATAAATGACCGACATTTTAAAAGAGAGACTACCATCACCTCAGAATCTTGGGCGCGCCGCCTGTAAGCTCTGAGGGAGAGGGTAGCCCCATAATTTGGCCTATTTCGAAACAAATGACAGTACAAAGAAGACCTACAATAATAATTTGGATAATGACCGACATTTCAAACGAGAGACTACCATCACCTCAGAATCTTGGGCGCGCCGCCTGTAAGCTCTGAGGGAGAGGGTAGCCCCATAATTTGGCCTATTTCGAAACAAATGACAGTACAAAGAAGACCTACAATAATAATTTGGATAATGACCGACATTTCAAACGAGAGACTACCATCACCTCAGAATCTTGGGCGCGCCGCCTGTAAGCTCTGAGGGAGAGGGTAGCCCTATAATTTGGCCTATTTCGAAACAAATGACAGTACAAAGAAGACCTACAATAATAATTTGGATAATGACCGACATTTCAAAAGAGAGACTACCATCACCTCAGAATCTTGGGCGCGCCGCCTGTAAGCTCTGAGGGAGAGGGTAGCCCCATAATTTGGCCTATTTCAGAAACAAATGACACTACAAAAATCACCTACAAAAGTATTTGGATAATGACCGACATTTCAAAAGAGAGACTACCATCACCTCAGAATCTTGGGCGCGCCGCCTGTAAGCTCTGAGGGAGAGGGTAGCCCTATAATTTGGCCTATTAAGTAAAAAACAAGTAACAATACAAAGGTAACCTGTAATAATAACTTTTGGATTATGATTGACATTTCAAGGAGGCTAAAATAACCGATATAGAAACCATACTGTATCTGTGACGCTGATTATACAGATCGCCCAAGCGAACGCGAAGATGTTGAAGTGGAAGCTAGAATATCTGGAGTAATCCAGCGTCTTGGGCTCCTGCCAGCGAATAAGATTTTGGCGGGATTTCGACAGTGCTTGGCGGGCTTTTTGGAGAGTGATTTGTCACTGGAGGCACATCGACGCTTACATCGTCTTAAGCCAGAGAAAAAAGACTTGAATCCTTCGCCGTTTAATAAAAAAGGTCGTCCATTGAATCAGATAATCGGCCTTGCTGTTCCTCAAGGAGATGTGAAGTAGAGCTCGAGCTCTCGCATTCGTTTACACCGGCGACTATAAAATGTGCATTGTTGACGGCTTTTCTCAAACGTTCAAATAGAGAAGATTTAAAAATTTCTTTGGTCAGGGTCTTTTCCACGCAGAGTTCCTTCCAAAACAGAGAAAGATGTGCCAGCAGAGAGTGTATTCCTACATGTGGCTCCACAGTAAAAACTTGATACGCCGACTCGCCGTTTTCGATTCGAAGGTCACCAATGTTGACACGGCATAATACTCTTGAAAGAAGTTAAATAAGCCATGGGAGCACTATTTTCTTAAAAGAGAGCACTTGAAAAGCCACTGAAAGCGTATCAAGCCTATTTGAATCCAAAAACGGCGAGAAAACTGTAGTTATCAATTGCGAAGCCAGCCGCGAAGGTCGACTTCGACCGTGAAATGAATTTATAATCCCAAATAGTCTGATCAAATTTCGCGTTTCCTTGAGATGTCTGGTTCATTTAATCAGAAGTACAAAGTTCCTTGACAGGCAACGTGTCCGGCGCTCTTCAAAGGTGTCTGGAGGAATGCTTAAAACTAATTACGAAAGTAACGCTTGTCTGTTATTAGAAACCGATCTGCGGTGGTTGCTGTGGAGATTAGGCCTCCTCCTGCGCGCACTAAAATCGGGCCTCTGGCCTGTTATGTAGAGTATTCGCAAAACAAGCCAACTACGTGAATAATAGACATATTTCATTTCATTTTTGCTGATCAGGTCTTTATAGATCCTACGTTTAGTTTTCCTTTTTGTTAGTTCAATAACGACACAGCAGTTCAAGAAGTACACAACAGATCAATAACCACACCAGTAGTTCAACGGACTACACATCAGTTCATTGAGCGTAAAATACATGCAGCTGCGGGAAGAATGGCCACAAATACGTTAGTTATTTCTTAATAAGAATGCATAGCATTAAGTAAGTGGTAAATACTCATTTAGCTATGGTACGAGAACTAAATAGATAAATAGCTATGTTACACTGTTATTAAGTTCTAGTGAGCTCATTAATATAGACGGGAACATAGACTGACGCTATTTTTAAAAAATTTTAGTCCGCTCAGAAGGTCTGTCATTCTCATCAGGGGCACAGTGAACAGACCTGGAAAGAGAGTCAGCACCGAAAGGGTAAAGCCAACTCGGTCCGGAGAAAACTTCAACTAAATAACCCGACAACGCGCACGTTAATAAAGCAGAAAAAAATACAGTTAACCGTGGATGAAATCTTGTTTTTTGACTCTCTTTCCGCACGTTTCAAACCGTGGTACCACAGCTGGCCCTACGTGCTTGAGTTGACTACCATCAATCTATGTTTAAAAATAGTTATTTTTACCGTACAAGTCCTGAACTTCCAACTTTCTTGGTTGTTTCAAACTTGAAAGGCAGCTGCTCGTTTCCTGACCATATTTCAAAAATCTGCTTTCGATATGATAATGTCTGTGCAAATATAAGAGATCATAACAATTGTAGGCGATGCCTCAGCAAGGTACCAACAGTTTTCTTTCCAAAACGAATTAGAAATAAAGTTTCAAATGCGTCTAACTCACCGCAGCTTGAATAAAAACAACTGGTAGGATGACCGCACTTTATTTTCTTCACTCGATGGCTTACGTCATTTCATATCACGCGCAATTTCTTCAAATGTTAACCGGCAACCGCCGTGAACTTTCGCGCGCAACTTGAAGGAGTTACGTCACAGTAATCCTAGTGTCCAAGTGAGGCCTTTTTCTCACTAGTTCGGTTTTCTTATTCCAAAGAAGATATAGAATTAAATTACATAAGGTTTATGTCTTTAAAAAATGTACAACATTGTTTTAGTTAACCATTTCCATTATGGGCTAAGCCAAAAAATACGTAAATAAATAAATGTGATGAAGGTGATATACAAACACACAAACAATTATTTAAATAATAATAATAATGAGTTATGACGGGGTTTTACAACCATGATACCCCGCCCATAAACATCCCTATCTGATTTTACAAGCAACCAAAAGGATGCCTGTCACACGAGTGCAATGACCCTCTACAGCCGTGAACAAGCTGACAGATCTGGCGCACAGCGGGCAGTTTAAGGGAAAGACATGAGTGCCATATACCAGAATAGCCCAGTATATGGATTCAATAGCTCAGTTTTCCTTTTTGTTAGTTCAATAACGACACAGCAGTTCAATAAGTACACAACAGATCAATAACCACACCAGTAGTTCAACGACTACACATCAGTTCATTGAGCGTAAACTACATGCAGCTGCGGAAAGAATAGCCACAAATACGTTAGTTATTTCTTAATAAGAATGCATAGCATTAAGTAAGTGGTATATACTCATTTAGCTATGGTACGAGAACTAAATAGATAAATAGCTATGTTACACTGTTATTAAGTTCTAGTGAGCTCACTAATATAGACGGGAACATAGACTGATGTTATTTTTAAAAAATTTTAGTCCGCTCAGAAGGTCTGTCATTCTCATCAGGGGCACAGTGAACAGACCTGGAAAGAGAGTCAGCACCGAAAGGGTAAAGCCAACTCGGTCCGGAGAAAACTTCAACTAAATAACCCGACAACGCGCACGTTAATAAAGCAGAAAAAATACAGTTAACCGTGGATGAAATCTTGTTTTTTGACTCTCTTTCCGCACGTTTCAAACCGTGGTACCACAGCTGGCCCTACGTGCTTGAGTTGACTACCATCAATCTATGTTTAAAAATAGTTATTTTTACCGTACAAGTCCTAAACTTCCAACTTTCTTGGTTGTTTCAAACTTGAAAGGCAGCTGCTCGTTTCCTGACCATATTTCAAAAATCTGCTTTCGATATGATAATGTCTGTGCAAATATAAGAGATCATAACAATTGCAGGCGATGCCTCAGCAAGGTACCAACAGTTTTCTTTCCAAAACGAATTAGAAATAAAGTTTCAAATGCGTCTAACTCACCGCAGCTTGAATAAAAACAACTGGTAGGATGACCGCACTTTGTTTTCTTCACTCGCTACACCGTATTCACAAATGGCGCACACGCGGGAAAAAACTGGTGCCTAGTCATGAAAGGGAGGCGTTGGAGGGTAAGCAAAAATTGCAAATGAAGACTTTCAGAGAACTTGCAGAGTGTTTAGCACGGATTCCACCTAAAATAACTTTGTACGGACTTCTTTTTAAATACAATTACGTGGGATGTCTTCTGCTTTTAATGTTTAGTATTGATTTGCTGTTTGCAATCAAAAGGGACGCGTATATCTTCAAGGAAACAGAATGATTTTGTAGGTTTCCGAAGCATCAGAAGCTCGACAAGTGGACGATGACTGGAGAAAAGCGGCAAACATGTTGGCCCAAACTTCACATTGAAACCGAGTTCGAAAGCCAGCTCACTGCAATTCGGTAAAACAGAAATATAAACAATGCAAATCATGGTGGCAAGAAAAAAAGAAATAAGCGATGGATATATGGCCTACTTGTTAACGCAAGAGACGTGTGCCATTGAACAAAACAGTTCAAATCGAGATGGAAAAAAGGAAGCCAGGAAAGAAGCGGTGACTGAGGTTTCGACGAAGTTATGTTTGGTGTTTATTTGCCAGGACGTTATTCTCTGGTCTTTATCGATGAAGGACATCAATTAGAACTATCTTTTTGGTATAAATGCAGGAGCGATTGAGTGGAGTACGCTCAAAATTTCAACTTGTTACTCGGCAGACTCGGTAAGCCGGCCACATTTCATTTCAGCGAGTAATTTTCCTATTTCTTATCTTTGGCTTTTGAGAGTTTTAACTTCATGTTCCATAATATTTTAAAAGTGAATAATACATAAATAAATAAAATGATGGTCTTCTTAAACGGATCCAGACTCGCATTTAATGATTCGAAACAGAAGCTTGCCGTGTTCAGTCCTGACACAAACATTGCCTTAAAAGTTTAACCTAGTAAAATGTGAGCTTTATACCACTTTTTTACCAAGAGCTCTCCGAGATAATGCCGTAAAGGAGACCAGGCAAATAGCAAGCCATAAGATTCACACACTAGAGCTTCTAGGTTTGATAAAATTATTTTATTTCGCAATGACAAAGAAATCAAAAGATTTTAAATTTGCACTGAATTTGCTAAGCTCTGCCAACGTACCTCTAACAGTTCACTCCAAAGCGACGGAATTAATATCATCCAAAGGAAGTTGTAAATACAGACATACATAGATATGTGTAAAATGACACTGACATGAATGAATGAGTCTCGTGAATGAATCTTTCCCCCGCTCTCGACTTGACCTGTTTTGATTAATGGCGGAGGTCTCTTCCGTTGACAAGTAGGCCATATATCCGTCGCTTATTTCTTGCCACCAATATCTGTTTTTACTTCTGTTTTACAGAATTGCAGTGAGCTGGCTTTCGTGTTCGTTTTCAATGTGAAGTTTGGGCCAACATGTTTGCCGCTTTTCTCTAGCCATCACCCACTTGTCGAGCTTCTGAGGCTTTGGCAACCTACAAAATCATCCTGTTTCCTTGAAGATATATGCGTCCCTTTTGATTGCAAACAGCAAATCAGTACTAAACATTAAAAGCAGAAGACGTCCCACGTCATTGTATTTAAAAAGACGTCCATACAAAGTTATTTTAGGTGGAATCCGTGCTAAACACTCTGCAAGTTCACTGAAAGTCTTCATTTGCAATTTTTGTTTACCCTCCAACGCCTCGCTTTCATGACTAGGCACCAGTTTTTTCCCGCGTGTCCGCCATTTGTGAATACGGTGTATGGCTTACGTCATTTCATATCACGCGCGACAGAGCTGAACAAAGTCTGCGCATGTGCCGAGACGGGAGAGGTCTGGAATCTAACCTAGTATCGTTTTCAAAGGGATTTTCAAAACGTCCTCACATTTTGGCGATTATTAAGGTGGATTCTGAATATTCAAGGCTCCCATTTAAACTAAAGGTAGATTATTTCATACTTTATTTAATTCTCGTTTCTACCTTTGTAATTTTTCTTCTACTTTCTTCTATGAACAAAAGAAGACGCACGAAAGAAGCGTCCCCGCTATAAATAGTATCGTTTGCAAAAGGATTTTCAAAACATCCTCACATTTTGGCGATTATTAAGGTGGTTTCCGAATATTCAAGGCTCCCATTTAAACTAAAGGTAGATTATTTCATACTTTATTGAATTCTCGTTTCCACCTTCGCAATTTTTTCCCTTTTTTTGCTATGAACAAAAGAAGATGCACAGACGAAGCCGAAAACAGTTCTTTCATTCGAATGTGTACATTTTCAAGCGTAAACACATGAAAGTACAGATTATCAATATGTTATCAGTTCTAAGAAATCGTCCGGACATCATATCAGTGTCAGCATTAAAGCTACATTTTATTTATCTTTGTTTTTCCTTGAATGATCGTCCTTTAGTTATTTCTCTTGTTATATCTCGCTTGGTTTCACTATAAGAACTGTAAGAACACAAAACAATCACTGAGGTTTCGAATTCAATCAAGTTCTTTCTTCCAAACTTGTTTCCCTTTATGACTCATTCTTGGCTCAGCTCAAAAGAGCTATTATAAATTTTTGTATATGACAACAGGCAAAATTAATGTTGAAAAGAGTAAATGGGCAAGTAATACAGTCGATGCTTGCTGGTAAAAGTATCAATGACTTGAAGTTCTCTAAAAAGCTTCATTACAGGGAGAAGCACAATCTGACTCTTTACAAACTTTCATTTATTTTTCTCTTCGAAGTCTAGATCTTCATTCCTTGATTCATCTGCTTCATTCAAACCTGTCATAAAAGGAAAACCTATAGTTAATACGAAAACTCACATAGAGCTGAGCCAACTTGTGATTGTTTCCCAAAACTTCAACAGCTTTAAACTTTTAAAGGTTTATTCACTAATAAGCTTAAAGGTGCAAATTAAATTTTAAACAAACTTTACCGAATAAATACTGATTCTACAGCTCGACCAGCGCCTCTAAGCCGGCTAGAGGTACGTAAAAGCTTCTTTGATCGCACTAAGATTTGTATGTAAGTTTATGACTTTCATGACTTCTTGTGTCTGATGGTATCATCGCGCTCAAAGCCGGCTTTCTTGCCACCAAGTCAAAAGAAACGGTCAACAACTGTTATCGCTCGGCCTACATTACAAATATTTGCTCCTCCTTAACCAGAATAAAGTAATGTTTAAGTAAATCGTTTACGTACCATCGAAGAAAAGTCGCCCAAACTCCAGCACATTGCTCTTTTTTAATTTCTCAGTCATCTTTCTGCAAACTTACTGACGATCTGCATCAAAACAATGAAAAACCTTCGCCGGGACGGTCTAAAACATTTTCCTTGATCCCTGGATTACATAACATTTCTTTCCATGAGTTGCATTTCTAACGTATTCGCAGAATTTCTCCTTTGTTGGCATTCACAAATATGAGTTTAGATGGTCGAAGATAAAATGGTCTCAGATGCTAGAATTTCACTTTGCGCGAGTGCTTCGCGCACGGGCTAGACTAGTAAACAAGTGATGTCACGGACATGCGTAGTACGTTATTCAGCCCTGTCATCACGCGCAATTTCTTCAAATGTTAACCGGCAACCGCCGTGAACTTTCGCGCGCAACTTGAAGGAGTTACGTCACAGTAATCCTAGTGTCCAAGTGAGGCCTTTTTCTCACTAGTTCGGTTTTCTTATTCCAAAGAAGATATAGAATTAAATTACATAAGGTTTATGTCTTTAAAAAGTGTACAGCATTGTTTTAGTTAACCATTTCCATTATGGGCTAAGCCAAAAAATACGTAAATAAATAAATGTGATGAAGTAGCCTGCGTAGCAAGCGTTTCCTCGCGAGGTTCGTCTAGAAAGCTGGGACAAGAGCAAAAAAAAAAAAAATTAATGACGGGGGAGGGGGAGGGGAACGAAGGAACCGCTTGCCCGCAAACCCCATGATTTTGAAAAACTGCGTTCGCCCACGAACGCAGCCTCTGATTGGCGCGGTGCGGGTAGTGTTGATTACTTAGCATTCGAAACATCAATCAAGCCAGGTATGCTTTGTTTTCGTGGGTTACAGATCTAGTCTCATCTGATTTGTGGTCGCAGATTACAAATGCTTTGGACCGATATTTATGGGAATCGTGTTTGTGCGAAGGTTTATGAGATCAGAGTCTTCAAAGTATAATTGGAGATCGAGCAGTGGAGACTAGGGAAGGCCAATTTATTGAGAATGACGGCGTGCGGATCTGACTGGAAAAAATGGACTGTTTGTTGGAGATAACATCAACATAAATCACAATATCGGTACTCGACACTAGCTAAAGCCGCCATGGACAAGCGATTTGTCAGCTGTTTGAAATGAAAAGATTCTTTTTGTTTATTGGAAATTTAGCTGCATGTATTGTAGAGAACGTTTCGACACAGGCTGAAGACTTATACCCGGCGGAGTGAATTGTTCCGGATAAATCATTTTTTGAGACAAGGTTTCAGACGAGATAAAGCCACACAATAAAAAACAAGAAATTTCGCAGCAATCGCTCATAGTTTTAACTTTCTTTTATCGTAAATCTTTTTTATTACAGTTCTTGCAATCGCCTGCAACGTGTTCTATCAGAGAACAAAGTAATTTTACAAATCTGGTAATCCAGGGGTAATCTGTTCGTTATGTTTCTATTTTGACGAGCTGTCAATTTACAAATGAACCGAATCGTGAAATATCAAGGGGCGTTTTCCAGAATCGTGGGGTTTGCGGGCAAGCGTTTCCTCTTCTCCCCTCCCCCTCCCCCTCCCCCCCCCCCTTCAACCTTTTTTTTGCTTCCGCTCTAACTTTCGCGTAATAACTCGATTGGAAACGCTTGCTACGCAGGCTAGTGATGAAGGTGATATACAAACACACAAACAATTATTTAAATAATAATAATAATAATGAGTTATGACGGGGTTTTACAAGTCTATGTTCCCGTCTATATTAGTGAGCTCATAGCTATTTATCTATTTAGTTCTCGTACCATAGCTAAATGAGTATTTACCGCTTACTTAATGCTATGCATTCTTATTGAAAAATAACTATCGTATTTGTGGCTATTCTTCCCGCAGCTGCATGTAGTTTACGCTCAATGAACTGATGTGTAGTCATTGAACTACTGGTGTGGTTATTGATCTGTTGTGTACTTATTGAACTGCTGTGTCGTTATTGAACTAACAAAAAAGAAAACTGAGCTATTGAATCCATATACTGGGCTATTCTGGTATATGGCAACCATGTCTTTCCCTTAAACTGCCCGCTGTGCTCCAGATCTGTCAGCTTGTTCACGGCTGTAGAGGGTCATTGCACTCGTGTGACAGGCATCCTTTTGGTTGCTTGTAAAATCAGATAGGGATGTTTATGGGCGGGGTATCATGGTTGTAAAATCCCGTCATAACTCATTATTATTGTTATTTAAATAATTGTTTGTGTGTTTGTATATCACCTTCATCACATTTATTTATTTACGTATTTTTTGGCTTAGCCCATAATGGAAATGGTTAACTAAAACAATGCTGTACATTTTTTAAAGACATAAACTTTATGCAATTTAATTCTATATCTTCTTTGGAATAAGAAAACCGAACTAGTGAGAAAAAGGCCTCACTTGGACACTAGGATTACTGTGACGTAACTCCTCCAAGTTGCGCGCGAAAGTTCACGGCGGATGCCGGTTAACATTTGAAGAGATTGCGCGTGATATGAAATGACGTAAGCCATCGAGTGAAGAAAACAAAGTGCAGTCATCCTACCAGTTGTTTTTATTCAAGCTGCGGTGAGTTAGACGCATTTGAAACTTTATTTCTAATTCGTTTTGGAAAGAAAACTGTTGGTACCTTGCTGAGGCATCGCCTACAATTGTTATGATCTCTTATATTTGCACAGACATTATCATATCGAAAGCAGATTTTTGAAATATGGTCAGGAAACGAGCAGCTGCCTTTCAAGTTTGAAACAAGCAAGAAAGTTGAAAGTTCAGGACTTGTACGGTAAAAATAACTATTTTAAACATAGATTGATGGTAGTCAACTCAAGCACGTAGGGCCAGCTGTGGTACCACGGTTTGAAACGTGCGGAAAGAGAGTCAAAAAACAAGATTTCATCCACGGTTAACTGTATTTTTTCTGCTTTATTAACGCGCGCATTGTCGGGTTATTTAGTTGAAGTTTTCTCTGGACCGAGTTGGCTTTACCCTTTCGGCGCTGACTCTCTTGCCGGGTCTGTTCACTGTGCCCCTGATGAGAATGACAGACCTTCTGAGGGGACTAAAATTTTAAAATAACATCAGTCAGTATGTTCCCGTCTATATTAGTGAGCTCACTAGAACTTAATAACAGTGTAACATAGCTATTTATCTATTTAGTTCTCGTACCATAGCTAAATGAGTATTTACCACTTACTTAATACTATGCATTCTTATTGAAAAATAACTAACGTATTTGTGGCTATTCTTCCCGCAGCTGCATGTACGCTCAATGAACTAATGTGTAGTCATTGAACTACTGGTGTGGTTATTGATCTGTTGTGTACTTATTGAACTGCTGTGTCGTTATTGAACTAACAAAAAAGAAAATTGCCACATATCAAGCATGGATTTGCATGGTAATGAATGATACTGGAGAGCTCGTGCAAACAACGACGACGAAAATGAGAAAATCAAAAAAAGGAAAAGGTTTAAAACCAGAACGCGTTGCAAACTTGTTTTTGTTGCCATCGAAAGACTAACGTTGTCAAACTTGAACGGAATAGATCGCCATCGTGGCTTTCATATCTAGGATTGTTGTTTCATCTCTTTCGATCTATTTTCAACTTTTGTTTCCGACCGGACGATGAAAAAGGCGGTAAATGGGGTCGGGAGACGGCGTTTATTTTTGGACAAATCCGTTAAGCCGTTGTCATCAGCTGTATCATGCATGCCAATGCTAATTTGTTTTCATTTCTGGATGAACTACTACGATACAACAAAAACTGTTGTTAACGTATTGCTTGACATTAAGTCACTAAGTCACTAAGAACAAATTAACCTCTATCCAGTGGATAACACAATTGGTTTTCCCAATACTTATCCGATTAATTATCCAGTAGATAGCGCTGTCATCGGTTTAAAACGACTAGCCCAGAGGTTTTATTTCTGGCGTGCAGGAGATCAGACTGCGTAGCAGGCGCTTGGAAGTAGTGGGCGAAAGAGAGAACGGGCACGCGCGAGGGAGACACGCGTGTCTCCTTCTCGCGCGCCCGTTTCTTCTTGTGCCCACTACTTCCAAGCGCCTGCTAGCAGGAAATCGACGGATGCGGGTCAGTCAGGCCAACATCTAACGCGTACGAAGAGTCTCTTGCACCAATGGTATATGTGTCAGGAAGCGTAAAGGAATAACGAAATCGTTTATTTATTGTAACATAGTCAAACCTGTGTACAACGGTCACTCTTTGCAGGAAGGCAACTGAACTTTGGGAAGTTGTCCGGTGACCGTAATATACAGGGTGACCGCTTCTTCAGGGCCGTTATATACAGGTTTGAGCGATGAACATTTAACTATAAGATCAAAATAAACGTTTTTTGCCTGAAATCCTGATCTGTCCATGATTTATTTACCAATTTAGGGAAAGTTCATTTAATATGACGGGGGGAATGAAGATATTGAGGGGGCTCCGAAAATTTTTAGACACCCGAAGGGGGGGCTCTGAAAAAATTGTTGCGCTAGGACGGGGGGCTCCGAAAATTTGTATACTTCAAAACCAACACATGACATCATCATACAGATCGGATGGTTTTCAACTCAACAAGGTCACAGGTCATTAAAATGACCTGTGCAACTCAGCTATATCACGTGGTTTACAGATATAACAAATGTAGTCTCAGTAATTATTACACTCTTGTTCATCCCAAAAATGCTTTAGAAAATTGTATCACAACTGTATCTCAAGTTTGTCATAGTATAAACCATTGAAGACAGTAACGGTAAATGTATTTAATACAGTCTAGCGATCTTTTTTCAGGGGAGCAAAGGAATTGAAGGAGGAGGGGAAGGGGGGCTGCTAAAATTTCAAGCTTCGAGTTTCAATATCTTCATCCACCCCCTTTTTATAGTAAATGAACTTTCCCTTAAGTCTTCACTCTCAATAGAGTATTGCAGACTGCTTTACAAATGTAAATAATAAAAAAGGATAAAATAAAATAAAAAAAGGTAAAAATAAAAATAAAAATAAAATACGACAATGACACAAAATTACTAATCAACATGTAAGATTACACGGGGATTACCTAAATGAACATGACGAAGTAGATGCTATGATTTCTGGTGGGAGATTGTTCCATTGTGCAATTGTCTTAGGGTAAAAATGTTGTGCATTGTCTTTCTTGTAGCTGGAAACGGTGCATTACAGTGATTTGGAGGGTACTTTGCGTTAAGGGAGCCTGCCTAGCATAATACCCGGGCATAATAACATTATGAATATAGCATAACCAGCCCAAAACGCTTCAAAACGACACAAGAACACATAATACAGCAAAAGTAATTTTATTTTAATTCTTTTCTAGCACGATAAGCTATAAAGATAAGGTGATATTTTTTCTTTTTTTCCATTTAAACCCTATAAAACGGTACGTTATGCAGTATTAGCAGGTGTATTAACTTTAACATATGTGCGCTCGCATACTGAGTTTGGAATGCCTGTGATGGAACTCAATTTTCAGTTCTTTCCGTGAGTAAAAAATAACTCCAATTGTATGGGTGAAGAAGCAATTTTATTGTAAGTATAATAATTTTACCAACTGTTCATCAATGATAAATATACAGTGTACATAAATAAATCATAAATATATCTTGCAATGCGTATTCAATTAACAAATACGGGACCCAGAAACATTCAATGAACGTCATAACTATAAATAAGGCCTCTCCACCAGGGACCTTTTTAACTTCATGGTCTTCATGTCGGGATTACACCTCTGTGCAACAGTGGTTTCATTTTTGCCTCATATACAGTAGCATCCAGTTAGGGAGGGTTTAAACACCTGCACTCACGGGGCAAAATCGCTCAAATGGGTGACTTGTGATGAGGGAAAGATGATCAGCATCACCCGGCTCCTAAGGGTTAGGAGATGCTGTATTGTGTAGTTTAAACTTGCGATTCAAAAAGTGTCTGTTCCTTGGGGCTTGTACCTCCTTCTCAGTCTAACAAATGAATAAATAAATAATAAATAAATAAAAAATAAATAGAAAAATAAATAAATAATGAAATGAACAATGAAATGTAGATAAACACCTCTCGGCTTAATATGAGTTAATAACCAGCGAGCGCCGGCTTTTTAACCTTCCCGATCTGCATAATTCCTCACATCTCAGCTGACATCTTCCTCAGCATCATTCATGCAATAATTGCTAAGAAGTGGTACTATTAAACGCTCGTTCAATGATACAAGTATGAGGAATAGTCCATTATCCTTACTTTGATTAACTAGAATACTTTAAATGCAGTTATGGAATGAATAACACAGGTGTGGCCAGATGAATGAACCTCACAAATTTTGCATTTTCTGATGTATGGGTGATGTTTTTTTTGACAGTATAACTTTACGGACTGCTAGCAACCTCGTCCCCAGGGCTTTTCCCTTAAAAAAATGGGTGGGGCGGGAAAAGGCCCTGGCATCGGTTGGTCACGTGTCCTCTCGTACACCCTAAAATCCTGGGTGTAATAAATTAGCGCTATGTGAGAAGCTAAAATTATGCGTAACGTTTTACAAGATTTCCTTTTTGTCACAGATACTGGCTATGGTCTTATTTTGCTTTCCTCCGATTTCTATGAAGGGAACAGCGAGTAACATTTATGACAACGTTTATAGAGCGATATAAGTACATATAAATGACAAACAAGCTATCGTACATGCATAAACTTTGTACTGGAAAAGTCCGTTTTCGCGACTTTTCTCATATTTTATTTCATTTGTCGCGAAGTGGACCGCCGTACACAGCCTAGTTCTATTTACCTTCACTCTCAGCCATATCATAGCGACACGCGTTGGTTTAGACTTATCTTGTATGACCTGTATTTTTAAAAAATTCATTGACTTCTACGATCAAAACGGACTGGCATCAAAGAAAGTCTTTGGCACATTCAAAATTCACAGAGCTGTAGTTGATTCCAGTCGATCGGTCAATCTTCCCTTTAATACAACGAAAATCCTTTGTACTTATCCTCGGAAGAGAAAAGATATAAGAGGTCTTCAAATGTTTCAGATCAGCGACCTGTCATCGTTCCTGGCTGGAGGGCTGACTTGCATTCGGAGGGGAGATTTGTTTGTTTCATGGTCGGGTTGTAGAGAAGACCAGACTCCATAAAGCATTTTGATGAACAATTCTTTTTCAATTAAGTTCAATTTGTTTAAATTCACTGCAGATCCTGTTTGACATTGCACAAAATCACTCTCCGCTTGATCGTACAGTAATTCCACAGTCACGATGAATTTCTGAAGTACCACTCGATAACAGCTTGTCTCAACTCTGAAGCATTTGATATATTAGGCTGATTTAGCAACAGAACGGGAACGTCAATTGACGACTGTGCGCGCAGATCAAACAACTGGCTTAACCAATGGCAGAGCGGCAAATTGGGCACCGGAAGTCGTGTTTAGTCCTTTCCGCGAGCTTTCCCGTCGTCAACTGACGTTCCCGTCCTGTTGCTAAATCAGCCTATTTTGTACGTGACAACGTAGAGCCGGTACGCCCTTTCATAAACTTTTAGCATTTGAATAATACGCAGTTAAATGGATCTTAACTTTTGAATCGCTCACCCGCGAAAATATTGACATAGCTCGCGTTGCTATTATTTTCCATTGTTACTCCCTTCTGTCATATTTAATACACACCTCTGGAACAGACCCACTCAGTCTAATCTATATTAATGAGCAAATGGGCATATATTGCGTAAAAGTTGCTGCCACTAGACTAAGCCCAAAATAAAACACGAGGATGCAACTGGTAAACTCGTCTGTTCAGCACTTACCTCACACTACCACTACTGCGTCGTATGTTGAGTCCTGACCGTTGTAACTCTTACCCCCCTGGGTTGAAATTGCTGCTTACTTTGGTCGCGCGGAAAACTCAAACGTCATCGGAGAGGAGTTATCGGAAATGCTGAAATTTCCCGCGCTTGAAATCTATTGTTTCAAGCCGTTGATCGTTTTTGCCCTTACAAGTCAAGAAACGATCAAAAATAACAATACAGAACAATACCTATTGTTCTCAAATTCAGGTCGCTTTTCGTGATACGTTTTCGCTGGGTTTTAAGAAAAAAAGGCGGTAGGTTGGCTTGTTTTCCACCGGGTCGGCAAATTTTCCACTGGGTATTTTTCCTCAGTTGGGTAACTCCCTCAAAAACCTCATCATTTATCTAAAGATTTAATGACAGATAGCCACTATCCCAGTAATGATGATAAAAAAGTAGTAGGCTATCACTGACACAGCATTAAGTTTCTTTCTCCTATTATACTGCAATAGTCCTAGCTCTCAGCAAATAAAACTTGAAACAAAATAACGGTAGAACCATAAAAGACAACTTTGGAAGAGTTGTGAAACTCTCTTGGATTACTCATTATTATGGTCATCGTAGAAATGTAATTATGTCGCGATATCTCAGTGTTTTCTCTGCTTCAACTTTGCCTGCGATCTTCAGGAGCCTTCTGAGGAAGGCTAATTTTGTTAGCCGAAACATTGGCCTATAATATATCAGCCCTTTGCCGTAGTGCCAGCCCTGCTTTTAGTTTTGTTTCACATTTCTATTGTTTTCCCTCTAACACCACCACCACTACCAACGCCACCACCACCGCCACCACCACATTTCTATTGTTTTCCCTCCGCCTCCTCCTTGTTTGGTTCACATCCCATGTGCTCACATCCCACGCATATTGTCTTTGAAAAGCCCTTTCGGGAAAGATAATAAAATATGTATGAATGTGTCTCTAGCTCGTGCCCAGATAATAAGTAGGAAACACCACGTCTCCCTTCCCCACCATAACCGAGCACGGCAGCATCCCCCCACCCCCGCCCCCCCCCGCTGAAGAAGGCGACAAAACGGGAACGTTAAAGAACAGCAGTCAGTGAACAGGCTTTAAGTATCTTCTGTTCCGAATGAGTACTGAACCCTTGTCAGTTTGGACCACGAAGGTATGGTGGAGACGGAGTTCAAGAATAGTCCCGAGAAGGGACCAATCAGGGTCAGTACGAGAGCGAGTTGCCACGCGTGATACTGGCCAGAGTGGAGGGAGAACTCTGCTGTGTTGGTCATAGGTGCGTTTCTCTTCACACTTGTTATGTAAGATTCTTTGCCTTGTCTCTATTTATCCTGCCGACAACGCCATATGTGGTTCACGTCGCATTTGGTCCCTATCTCTTGCCCAGGCCGTTAGCAGGCAAAACCACACTCCTCATTTTTATTGTTTTCAAATTCAGGTTATTCAGAGGGTGAGACAGGCGAGACCCAGGCCAAAAAGGCCGAACTCAGTCCATCTTGAATACAGTATTCACGATAAAGAACTGGGCTCGTTCTTGTTACGTCACCGGATAAAAAAAGTATCCGGATTTTTAGCATATTAAAAAATTTTCACTCTGGGGAGCGGATTCAAAAAGTTGCTTTAATGAGATCGTTAAAGTACCTAAAGTGCCTTTCGTCCTTAATGCCTCCCAATGTTTACCGCAAAATTTGACAAAATGCACCAAAATTTGACTGCTAAAAACATGAAGAAGAAAGAAGAGAGGAACAAGGGCTATGTGATCCGGCCAATAAAGCGTCCTTGATTGTAGCTTTATCTTTCTCCTCTTCAACCAGTCTTTTTTTTGTGCTTCGCTGTTCTGTACCGGCCCTTAAATTACGTAAATTCTAAGAGGATGTGAATGGGGTTAACCGACTAGCGACAAAAGGGGAAAAATATTACTGACTACCGACAAAACGAGTAAAAAATAACCGACTACCGACAGGAAAAGTATTAACCGACTACCGACATGGGCTGACATTATCAATATTTGTTTTCAGAAAAAAGAGCATTTTGCATTATTTTCTAGCCGTTAGGAAGTAACCTCTTTAAATTTATGACTCATCAGATGGTCTAACAGAAAGAACTTCCTCTTTTGTTAATACGGGTACATTACTACAAACAATATCATAATCACAGAAGCCACACCTTAAAGATGCTGCCGACTTTATAAATCTTATTGAAACGACAAAGGTGAAAAAACTGAACGTTTCTTGTTTCGGTCCGAAAGTTCTCTCAGTTCTTTCCAGTTTAATGGAAAGCACTATCAGTTAAAAACCACGGTACCGCGAGGAGCACAAACAGCAGTTTCCTTTCCAACGTTTTCATGGCCGCATATATTGAAAAACAAAGTTTAAGCAAAACCGTCTTTAAACCAACTGATTGAAAACGCTACATAGATGATATTTTTTCCCTATGGGACATAAGTAAACCAGACATGGTAGATTTCTTCAAATGCACGGAACAAGTAATCTTACTTCACCCTACTGCTCTACTGGCTATGGAATTTACAACCGAAATATCTGACACTGAGACAATCCTTTAAGACCCGGTTGGATACCAAGGCACAACATTCAACGAAAAATGAGAAAAAGCTATGTCATTGACGTAAAGACGCATTTTAAAAGGAAACATGAGGAGCTTTGCTCAAGAAAAAAAATCTCAGCAGGCGCCGGAAATTGATGCCCTGGTACGCATAGAAAGGTGTTTGCTTGGTGTCATAAAATTAATTAAGACCGGAACGTAATAAGTAAACCAGACACCGAGTATCCGCGAGAGACGCGTCATTTGAGCGCGAGGCAAGGCGAGGAGCCAGCATCCCACGCAACCGTTTTATTGCGGCGTGACCTTTCTGTTTAAAATGAAAAAGATTTTGATCATTCGAAATGTATCTTAAAAATAAAAGCTCGCGTCATCTACCCGTAGAAAGTAATTTCCATGATAAACAAATCCAGATCGGACTGCCGGTGATTTGGACGGGGCACGCCAGGGTTAAAAGACATTATGTTAAAGCATTTTATATTTCCTTTGTCACTTTGATAAAATTTTTGAAGGATCGACCCGTATTTCATGTGGAAATGTGTGACAAAGCGCCGCAAAAACTTGTTTCCAGTGCCGCTCAAATGAATGGACGGCAGCGTACATATACGATTTTTTTTGTTTTTGAGGGTCAGGCAGCGATCATGCGATGTAACCGAGTTAAATTCTTACTAATTAATTAATATTCTACCTTAGACTTTCAAAGTTCAAAAGCGCTGTGGTTTTGATTTCGAAACCATTTGAAGTGAAGGCGACCGTCGACGGTATGAGTCTTCGTTTCCCATTTCGAGTCTGTCGGGGGTTACAACCCCCAAAAGCATTGGCGTGCACTCAAAAAAGAAATATGTGGAGTCCGGTCGACGGGTTTCTCCAAAAATGAAATATTTAGGAGATTTCCTGACGAAAGACGTGGCAACGCGGGAACTTGAACCCGCCAAATCGGCCTATGCCGAAGTGGAATTCAACATGATGCCAGCTACTGTGTACGTCGCTTCCACGTTCGTTTGATCACTGATGTTCTTCGCCAGAATAATCAATATCATTCCACCGGATGGCCTTGTAAATTCTGTTACGGACTTAAGTTACATATTAGTGATATTAGACTTGAGGTAAGTTTGTTTTTAGTCAAATTATTCCCAATACAGTGAGGTATTTCTGTTTTCTGGTCACTTCAATTTAAAGAAATCATTTAGCTTTATTATTCTGTTTCTCTTCGGTAGTCAGTTTATTTATGGGCTTTTGTTATCTAATGGCAAAATCTAATTTGTATCATGCTTATTTTGTACTAACTGGTTTTGTTTCTCTTGGGTAGTCAGTTCATTTATGGGCTGTTGTTATCTGATGACAAAACCTAATTTTTATCATTATTATTTTAAACTAACTGGTACTGTTTCTCTTGAGTAGTCTGATGACAAGACCTAATTTTCATCACAGTTTTCATTTTGTACTAACTGGTTCTGTTTCTCTTGGGTAGTCAGCTCTTTTATGGGCTGTTGTTA